ACAATAATAATAATAATGATAACACGGGAAAATATAGTCACACCAAAAACCAACAAACAATTTGAACCATGAGTAGGATGAGCAGAGCTGGGGGAAATATTAGCTTTGTCAAAATATTTACCACATTTTTAGCTTCGGTTTTATACAACAAGAGATCAGATTTCTTGGGTTACAGAAATATTGCAGCCACAAAAAGGTATCAATCTCTCTAGACAATTGAACAGGGGCGCGGAAATACTTACAGGTTTTGTGAGAATTTGTTAAATACGGTATTTTTTTAAATCGTGAAAACGAGATTATTTTGACAGCATCAACGCGTCAATTTTTTCAGAAAACCATCTATTTTCTTATTACTGTTGCCTTCTCGGGGTAGATTTTCGTCTTTTTGTGGGTGTCTGGAAATCCAAACCCTGGGAAAAACTAAGCTCAAAATATATAGATATTTTGACAAAATTGCAGTACTCAATATGAGATCGCATTAATTCACAAAAAGTTTATTTGCATACTTTAATTCCACCGCATTTCCGAGGCTCTAATCAAGTTCGCAATTTTTTAAATGGCGTTACGATGCGAAAAACTTGAACATGCGAATTTGTGATGAATAAATACCCCCAATATTTTGCCCATCGCTGATTATGAGACGACAGCCTGTATACATACACACCCTTCTGGTTGCATAAGAGTGCAATAATGGTAATGGTGGTTGGTTGGTCGTTTGGGGAGTATGGTGTAATCTATTATGCCGTAACGTAAGGTAATCCCCCTGTTTACGTACGTGACAGGAAGGGAAAAGTTGTTGTGAAAATGAATTCAAATTTTAGACGAATGTTTTCACGCACGCACATTATTACATTTTGCATCGCACGACGCTAAAGTACGTGACACCAGAAAATGCAATAATCTAAAAAAAGAAACTCCATTGTGGTCCGTTTTATGAGATTTTTACACAATGGTGGAAAAAAGTAGGAGGGAATTTGTCACTTCATTCATAGAATTTTGGGGCCAAGGCACGCTTAGAGTTTAATATTTTAAAAGAAAGGTAGCAAGTAGGGTGGGCTGCGTATTGTGATCGGTTTGTCTGTCCGTTAGTCTGTCTGTCTGTAAACAGGATATCTTATGAATGCCGAAACATAATGAAATACCGTTTTCGCCTTTGTGCTTGTAATTTTTGAACCTCGGTTGTGTTCGAAAATGGGGTCGCTACGGTCAAGGTCAAAATGACCCTGGCGTGAGGTCAAAGGCCAAATTTCAACTAGATTTTCATATGGGGTGTCATTTTAAAGGACATTTTAATACGAATTCAACGCCTCAATATTTTTGACCTCTGATCAGCCCTATGACCTTGAGGACGAGGTCAAAGGTCGTAAAATGTATAATTGTCAAATGCGGTGTCGTTTTAAAGGAAATTTCAATCTGTCGCTAGTTCTTTACATTCGTTTTCCCGGATTTATTTTTTTGAAGTATCGAGTTTCGATGTGAGTACTTACTTAACCAAATGCGACGCATTGTATGCATGGGATGCCTTCTTATTGCATTGGAAACTTTCTTATTGCTCTGGTTCAGCTGCAGTGGTGGTGGGCGTTATTTCGCCATTTCCAGTCAATTTATATGTAATGCAATGGCACGACATAACTTTGATGGGGATACAACAATACAAATCGTAACGGGGGGACGATGGGTGGAGTACGTACGTACATACAATGAGCGATAATGTTATAAAGAATTTGCCCTTTCCGATTCCTCATGTGCATAGATTGGATTGCAAGTGTAATGTTTGCTGCAGATGTAAAGTGGTGATTGTCAGTGTTTCGGGTGGAAATAACGTTATTTTCAAGAAATAACGGTAGAGAAAGTGTATTTTTTTTGCAGGTAGATATTTTGACCTGGGAGAAATGTAAGGCGCAAGAAACGACGTCTCGCCGCTAGAAATAAGGCGCGCGGCTAGATTTCTTGCAGTTTTCTGCAGTTTTTTGCACCTCGCATTTTTTATGATTCTTCTTTGCAGTGCAAGAAATGTAGCAAAGAAAACAAGACACTGGCAAGAAAGAATGGGGTGAAAGTGGTTTTTAGGCAAATATTTTGACCTGCAAGAAATGCAAGACGCATAAAACTATTTGCATAGTTGATATAACACGTGGATTGATGGCGCATATTTCTAGCGCTTTCTCCCAGTTTCTTGCATCTCTCATTTCTTGCGTGGCTTGCTTTCCAGTGCAAGAAATGTAGCAAACTTGGAAGAAACGGAACACTGAAAGAAAGCTGGAGAAAGCTGCTTGTTTTCCTCCTTTACGTGAAGGTAATAATATTGCCGAGATGAGTATGAGAATGCGAGTCGGATGGATTTCCATCCACGTTCTTCAAAGGCGGCTCATTACTGCGGCACAATGGTGCAAATTGGGATGAAATTCCTATGCAAGACTTTTTGATCAGGTTCATTTGTTTGTGCGAGTGAAAGTTGCTTTCATTTTGTGTCACGTTGAGTTTAATGAGATTAGAATAATTGCAAATTTTGTATAACATTATGTAAGTACGAGTTTTATGTAGAATGACCTTCTCTCACATTTGTAGTGGTATAAGCATAAAAATTCTGGAGGCAGAGATTTACTGATGATAAGTTTATACATGAAAGATGCTTTCACTTCGAATTTAATGGGATTATTAAATTAGAATAATTGGAAATGTTGTAGTACCAATTTTATGTTGCCTGAGACTTTTGGGTGATGAACTTGTAAGTTGCTTTCATTTCGTGTCATAATGCGATTATTAGATTAGAATAATGATAAATTTTGTATCATATCATGTAGAAATTTTTATGTCACGTGGGAAGACTGACTGACTTTCTCTCAGGTTTATAGTTAAATTTGCATGTGTGGAGTTTGAGGGAAGTGAAAGTGTTCAATTTTATTGGGAAGGTGTGCGAGTAAATATTTTACTACTGTTACGTATGCACTGTTATTTTCTCCCTCGTCTCCTTTCTCCATCCATTGTGTCCTCCAATTTCCATTTCCATTCTATTGTTCCCTCACGAGCTGGGAGGCAGATACGGAGGTACATATGCAGCCAAGTCAAGTGAATTGAGGGGGTGGGGAGGAAGGAGGAGGACAAAGAAGACGGGGCACGAACTCTGCATGTTGTTGGCCTTTCTCTACTTCCGCCTCCTTTCCCCCTTTCTTCTCTCTCTCTCTGCTTATACAAATTTCCAGTTATTTGGAATTCATTACTGAAATTAACTTCCTTTCTTGGTATCACTTTCTATTGTGTAGTTTTGTATCAAGTTAATTTGATTTTTGAAAAAAATTCGGGCCACGTGTTCAGATTTTTTTTGGTGTTAAGCGAGCGGGTGGATTGGTTTAAAATTCATTTTTTATCGGGTTCTGAGTGTTTTTTAATGTAGATTGCAACTTCAAAAGAAGGTAAAGTTTTCGGGAGTTGGACAAAAAATTAATTTTTGATGAACTTTCTCTTAAAAATTGTAAAGTTTGGTAAACATTAAATCTAAAATATTCCTAGAAATATTTGTATTTATGAAAAACCTTGGAAGTGATCCGATTAAAGTAAAAAAACTAGTTCTGGACTATATTGAGAAAGTTATAAATAATAAATTACGTGTTTGAATTGATGGGTGGGTGGGGATAAAGAGGGGAAATTGGAGGGGGTGTGGGAATTGATAGGTGCAAAAAATGAGACAAAAGGAAGAAAGCCAAACAATATCCGAGCGAACCACGTGAAACCAGAAACCAAAAGATGAAATCAAACAAGAGAAAGTAATCGCTTAATAATTTTCTGAGAAAAAAAAGCGTTGGCCAGAAAGACACGCACACGACTGTTTTGTTTTGTTTTGTCGGATTACATATACATGAAGGTTGTTAGGAATCAATTTTACCCACCCAGTAAGGCAGCACCTTTTCATACACATGAGTTTGTATGTAAACAGGACGTGAAGAAACAGGAGTTGAAGAAAGAAAGGATGGAAAGGCAGGAGGCTTAAAAGAGTGGAAAAGTGGAATTATCTACGAAATGCCATCCACCCCCAGACGAACGCATAACCTGCACGTGGTTATGTTACGGTCGATAAGTGCGTTACGCAGAGGAGAAAGTGCGTTTATTGTAATACTACGACGAGACTGAGGAGAAGGGAGGTCTTTCTCGTGTAAAAGTTAGATTTATATGGAAATAATTTTATTTAGTTCATTACAAGAATATCCGTATTTTTACTTTCATAATGGCCTAATTTGAAATTTAAACTGTTTTCAGAAAAAAATCTCGGATTTTCAAATTCTGGAACTTTATTGATTTTATGACGGATTCGAAAAGTGTTTCATCAGAAGGATTTAGCTGACTTATTAAAAATCGGAATGTTGTAAAATTTTAATTTCAAAATCTTTTGCTAGTTCTTAAAGAAATATGTTTTCAAAATTAGGAATTTGCTCTAAAATTCGAAAAGTTCCAGGATTTTTAAAACCAAGCTTTAGGCTGGAAACAATTGAAAAATCAGGCCGCTTATTTTTTTATAAAATTGGTCCCATGAAAATCCGAGTTTTACATGGAAAACACATCCCTTATGCGGTTACACACTGGACGACGACGACGGGGTTTTATATTATTCCCACTTCCCAGGTTTATCCTCTCTATTCGTCCGTTTATTCCTGTGCCAGGACTAACTCGGTGGCAATAAAAGGGTAGCAAACAACAAGGGCAGCTACACACGTAACTAATGAGTGGAGGCAAGTGGACATTATACGGGTGCTTACCTTCTCCTACACTCCTAAAGTATACACTTGTTTTGTGGATTAATGTTCCCGTAATTATGGGATTGTTCCCGCAACACGTATTCATTTCGGTGAGGGTGGGAATAGAATAGAATCGAATGGATCGGTGATTATTATTCGTACGTACAATGGAGAATTAGTAGAACAATAGGTTGGTCGGTTGGATGGCTGATTTTGTGTACACTAATTCTATTATTGAACGGTTACTTATTTATATAGTTAGATACTTACCTCGGTTTTAATAAGTTTCCAAGCTTCCAGTAGTTGCCCGCATGGTTTGGTGGAAAGAAATCCGCTGCTGATTAATTAATTCATTCACAAACTATGCACTTATTATTCCACTTGTTAAGTAAACACTTTTGTTTGAGACGAATTATGATCTAGTTTCACAGTTGGGGGAAAGTAATGTTTAGTTTGATAGCAAAAAAAGTCTTGTAGTTTTACATGCTCGGAAGGATTCAGAATTCAAAATTTTGCACAATTTGCACTTGCACCACGTGTCATTAATTGGACACGTGGACGTTGAAATATTTATGAAAACACGTTGTAATAGATTTTGTTATGATTGTTTAACCTTTGAAAATTGGAATTATGAAAGACTTTTGTTAGTAATTTTGAAGCAGTCTATTTAGAAATTTTGCAGCTTTTTTGGTGACGTTGAGCTGCTTTAATGGGAGCACAGGTATTAACAGGTAAGCCTCGCTTATTGTGGGGCTTCTGTCCCGTTATAAATGTGAAATGATGTCATCTTTTGGAGTATTATTTGAGCTTTCTCTTTGCTCTTTTCTTGTCTCCATTTAATAATGGGGGGAACCTCTTTGTGTGAAAGTTTAGTTAAAAAGTTTGCTCGTTGTGATCAAAAGAATGGAGCAAAGTCACCATGATGCTTGAGTTTTTAGTCGAATTTTACCTAAATTTGTTAATGTTTTGGTTTTCCTTAAAGTTAAGTTTTTTTTAATACTTGCTTTCACTCACTTTTCTCTTGAGAAAGTCGGCGTAGTTTTTTGGGCACGTTTTATTTTTCGGGTGACTTTTTTTTCAGACGAAGCAGGTGTCATGTGTACAAAAGGTAGAAAGTTTTCGAGTCTTCGTCCACTTACTTTACTCGTCGTCCACTTTCACTCTGTAATAAATGTTTAAGGACAAAGTTTTTTTTTAGAAAATTCTTCACATTTTTGGACGGGTTTCTTTCAGGAAGGAATTTGTGTTAAGAAAAAAAAGAAGCGAGGAGGACAGGATTTTTTTGTGACAGATTCAATGTTTCGGTGAAAGTAAGCAAGACTTGGATGAAAGAAATGAAGGGGAGAAAGTGGGTGGTTTCGTGCAGGTAAATATTTTGGCCTGGGAGAAATTCATAAATTATTTACGCCGAGAGTTCTTACGAAATGGCTCATATTTCTTGCACTTTCTCCCAGTTTCTTGCACCTCACATTTCTTTGCTTTGGGGTGCAAGGAATGTAGTAAAAACCCGCAAGAAACGAAACTCTTGCAAGAAAGTGTTATTTTTGACCTGCAAGAAATGCACGGAGCAAGAAACTACTTCATACGGAGCTTGGATACATATTTCTTGCACTTTCTCCCAGTTTCTTGCACTTCGTATTTCTTGCGTGGCTTGTTTTGGGGTGGAAGGAATGTGAGAAACTCGCAATATATGAAAAAGCGGGTGCAAATAACCCCCTGCAAGAAATAAAGGGGAGAAAGTGGTTTGTTGCAGGTAAATATTTTGACCTGCAAGGAATGCGAGGTTAATGAAATTTCGCCGCGCCGCTATATTTCGTACGGCGCGCGTGGCTCGATGGCACATATTTCTTGCAATTTCTCCCACTTTCTTGCACCTGCATTTCTTACATGCTTTTTTTCAATGCAAGGAATGTAGCCCATTCGTCGGAAACGAAACACTATAGATATTTTTTTAGAGGAAACAAAAAATGAATGAAATCTGTTTATGCAACTTGGGAGAAATGTGTCTCGTACGGTGACAAATCTTGGAGATGCAAGAATGAAAAGTGTTGGGGAAAAGGAACGGGTGAAAGTTGTGCTTGTTCCGTGTTCTTTTTGTGTCCTGTGGGACAAATAAATCAGAGTCACACTCCCAGCCTCATCATTACACGTTCCATTCGGCGGAAATGTCTCATTCCCTGCGCGCCCTGTCCTCCTGTCCAGATGGAGCAGAGAGATTGTACGGAGCGTCTTAAAAACGGGGAAAGTCTGAGAAGAAGAAGGAGGCAGGCAGGATGAAGGAAGGAGAAATTAATCAAAAGGAGGTGGCAAAAGGAGGGGAAGCAGATTGTCCTCATTTTTGCTGACAAGCGTTCATTATTTCGCGACATGGTCAGGTTTAATTGGTTTGAGCGGAATGGAAGTGTTCCACCGTATGAATTTCACGATTTTGGGGTAACTTTTAGAGAAAATAGTGCCAAATTTGATTAGTATGAAATTTGGAAATGGCAAGATTTGCTAATGGGCACGTTTCATGGAGATATTTGGATTACAAGAGGAGAAAGCGAGCTGTAAATTTGGAAAGTGTAAAGTTTGTCGGGTTTAATTCAAGGTGGGTTTTCTCCTCTTCGTATGCAAAGATCTCGGCTAAACGTGCCCATTGGGAGGTCGGAAATTTCATATATGAAATTTCCGAAAGACACGATCCGCTAATGATATTCGTATCCTAATCAAATTTATGATCAATTGAGACTAATTTGCTAAAAATCTAAGAACATACGCGGGGAGACGTTCATTTTTGCGATGTGTCTACTGTGCAGATAATTTATGTATGGTCTGTGGATTTGCAGTCTTTTTTAGAAATTTTGCAGAAAGGTTGACTTACTTTTTTCAAATTGGTTTCCTTTCTCCAAAAAAGAAATCGCTGTGTTTTAAACTCTTTGAAACTTTCACTTTTTCCCAGAGTTGGACGAATTATATTGTAGCTAGCTTTCACTTTGTTTATTTTAAAGTGCAGGGAAAGTCGTAACTGTAAAAAAGTGCATGCACGCTTTTGATGTGAGATGAAGAAGACTTTCACTTTGGAAATTTCACTGTTTGGAAAGAGTCCTATCAAAAAATTCATGCACTCTTTTGCTGTAAGATGAAGAAGAAGAAGACTTTCACTTTGGAAATTTCACTGTTAAAATTGTGGCGAAAGTCGTAAATGTAGAATAAAATGCATGCAGGGCTTCTGCACGCTTTAAGAGAAGAAGGAGACGAAGAAGACGATGGTGTTTTTGAGTGAAAGTCTGTCCGTGAAGTGGTGGTGGGTCGGTGGTGGTGAGTGAAAGTTTGTCGGCAGCGGTGGTGATGGGACGGGAGTCGAGACGGCAGTGTTGGGATTTCTCGCCATACATTACTCCTCACTCACCCAGCGTCAACATCCTCTCCGATCTCTCTCCCCCGAATTCGGGATGGATAAGCTCAAGCTCCCGTTGTATTTTCATCCACGTCGTTCCCAACACGAACGAAGTATGTATTCTTCTTTGAGGTGAGACTAGTGGATTGCATGCACCTTTTACCTGGCCGGAGTATGAACGTACGAAGGTGGCATTTTAATCGGTGAATTGGATCGGACTGGGTGGAGGAGAAGAAGAATGCATACATTATTTATTCAGTTACGGGAGGAGAGAGAGAGATCTGCGGATGAAAAGGGTTGATTTTTGCGGGATTGGAATTCAATAGGAAGAAGGTTTGGGTGGAGTTTGAAATACTGATTTTGAAGAGGATGTAGGTATGTATGTATGGAGTGAAATTGTTGGGGGGAAGAGGTATGATTTAGAGGGAATGGAATGCTTAGGAAGAAATTGAGAAATGAGGCATTTCTGGGGAAAATTTTGGGTTAAAATGGAGTATTTTGAGTTTAGTTATTAGCAGGGTATGGGTTTCCGGAAGTGGTTTACAGCCACAAAAAGGCGAAAATTTATGTAGAGAAGGCATCAACATTCAGACAAGTATGTGAGGTTTTGTTAAGAAATTAACTTTTTATTACGGAGGAAAAAATGCATTGTTTTCACGATTAAAAAAAAATACAATATTTTAAACGGATAAAAAGTTAATTTCTTGACAGAACGTGTACTATTTTCGGTGACAATTGTACTTTCCACGTAGATTGGTGTGCTTTTGAGGGTGTGACAGCCCTGGAAATCCTAACTCTGGGAAGAACAGGGCTCAAAATGCTGCACTTTAACAAACTATTTTGCCCACCTCTGTAAATGACGGTGACGGTTCGTCTGTTTTTGACCTGGTTTTCATACATGCATAGAAATAACTTACCATTAAAGAGAATATGTAGATATACGAGATATATGTATTTAGGAGATGTATGTACGTCAGTTCTTGAAAGCGGAAGCAGAGCACGAAATATGCTCCAATTTAGTTATGTTTCTAAAAATGGAAACCATCAATCACTTGAATTTTGTATGAATCAATGTATTCAAGAAAGTCGTGGTGAGGAGGACGTTGTTTTATTTACTTCGCGTGCAAACACATCAGTCTCCGCGATGGATCAAAGTTGTTTACATTTTTGGGAAGATTGGACAAAGATGAGTGGAGTGGATGAAAGGAAAAAGAAGGTGCCTTTCTTCCAAACTGTATTTATTTGTCTGTTTGTCAATCGAGGACTTGAGCTTCTCTCGGCGTCGGGATCTTTCTTCTGATTTCTGTTTTTTATCGAAACGTGGAAAGAAATGGTTTCGTCCGGGAGCTAAATAATCTGAATATATGTATGGAGAGATTGTGGACCAGGAAATAAAGCTGTGTATGTACTTATCACCCGGGTAACGCGGGATTTCATTTTCCCTGTTAAAAATACCTTTTTTTGGCCAGATCAGGTACGAAATGTGAAAGTTTTTAGTGTTCAAAATGAGAAAAATGGGATTACTGGGGGTTAAATAACGTTAGAGAGGTAAAATTTCTACGTAAAATTCACAAGAGTCACTTACTAATTGCTTACCAGAAATTCTGAAAAGCTTGATGTATAATAGTGTTCTCTCTCGCACATTTGTTTTTCATAATTCCGTCCAAAATTTCGATAGGTTTTATTTTGCTGAACCTGAATCCAAGTTCTGCCCAGTTTTCTGCAAAAATCTCTCTCCATGCAGTTCTATTCTGCAGTGAATCGGGCCAAATTACGGAAGGAAATTAACTTATTTAAAACCAGACAAAGAACAATTTTTCCATTTCCTATCTAAATATTTTGGGTGGGTTTGCTCATAAATTTGGTGGGTTTGCGACTAATGTTGGACAAAACACGTGGACAAAACACTAATAAGGACAAAACACGTGGTCGCGAATCTTAACTGGCCGACACTGCATATGTACTGGTCGCAAATAGGCGGTGGTAAAGTTGGTCATTACGAATCTCAACCCTTTTCTAGGAAAGGAATGATTATGACGAGAAAGTGAAGAACTATACATGGGCAATATTATGCATTAAGAGACGAGACATAGGAAAGTGAAGCTAAGATCGGCTAACGACTAACAACTCAACTCTGTTCTCTCTCTCTCTCTCTCTTTTTGAAAAGTGTGCAGTTTGAAATGATCGTTGCGATGTTATCTTCGGTTTGGTTTTTGGGTTTGGTTGGAGAGAGAAATGGTTCCGTCTTGTTCTTCTTCGTCTGGTGGTGGGCTCGACTTAAAGATGAAGAAACTGAGACTTTCTTCTTCTTGAGTGGAAAGTGAAGCAATTGAAGATTTCTCGTCCTGCTGGATCGATGAGAGAGAGCGGAGGAACGGACCGAGTGGAAAAGTATTTACTACTTGCTTGGTCCTTCTCTGCTTCCTTATCCCATGTATGTATGTACTTTTATGTGTACACATAATGGGAAAAAATGTCTAATGGGAATGGATATGTATGTATTTACGAAATAAGGACAAAGTAGTTGGATGGAGATGGATGGATGCGGGTCGGAGGTTGAAGTATGTAGGGTTTTGTGAAAATGTAGAATCTTGACGACGTTTAGGATGAAAAAATATAATTTTAAGTAAATTTGCGGTTTAATTTGTGTAATATTTGTGTAATTTGTGTATTATTTTTAATTTATTTTTTAACTTATTTTGACTTTTTTTAATGATTTCTTCGTTTTTTATTCAGGTTAGGGGATTTTTAGTGTACGACTCCTTTGTAGTCAGCTTTTCTGATGTGTAATTTGTGTAATGAAATGAAGAATATTAGATGCATTAAAAGTATTATTTTAGGTTTATAAGTAATACCAAAAATACTTTTTCAAAATACAGTATTTTGATCCGGAATGGGAAAGTCTTATATACGAAAATAGAGCTTTTTTTTAGAGAAATTAGCCCTTTATTGCTATCGAATACTTTGTTTTCTCGAATAAAAAAGTAATGTTTTTTGACAGCGGTAAAAAGTTAATTTCCTCACAGAATCTGCTCTATTTTCGTATGACTTGTAGTCTTTATGTCCAACAGTACAACAGTTTTGTGGGCGTAACAGTCTTGGAAATTCCAGACCTTTAGAAGAACGGAGATCTTCAAACCACTTTATTTCGTTTAACAGTATTTTGGTCATCCTGAAGAATTGGTATAAAACTTTTCATGAGTTTATCAATGAGATTTTTATCCATGCAATTTTATATAACGGACGGAATCAATAATCCAACAAAAATCTGCATTATTGACGGAAATGTTACCAAGTGCTTTATTTTCTTACAATGCGATGGTGTGAAGTGTAACCCTCCGATTTAGATGAAATTTTGAAATTACGTTGTCCAAGTCAATACAACCAACGTTTCTTCAAGCAGTTTGTGCGATGGTCAGAATTTGGAAAAATATTTGAGGTCAAAGTTGAATTTTACCAGGCGGAAGAAACAAACTCACCTTGCACTCTCTTCCTGTGCTAAAAATTGCACATTTTTCAACTTTGACCTCAAATACTTTGCCAAATTCTGACTATCGCACAAACTGCCTGAAGAAACGTTGGTTGTATTGACATGAACCACGTAATTTCAAAATTTCAACTAAATCGGAGGGTTACACTTCACACCATCGCATTGTTAGTACACATGTATCCCTATTTTTTCCTCCATTGCACCCAAAGTTATTGATGTCGTCGTACATATGTAGTCGACTGAAAGCCCTTGTCCTCATGTATGCACCGGGTTTTAAACCATTTTCATGAAAAGTATGCATGCAGAAGCAATATATTTATGAATCGAGTCGTGGAGTGGAGACTAGTCAACTTTCTCCCAAAAGTGGTGTGACTTTTTGAGATAAGTAACCATTTGAATGGAAAGCTTTCTTAATATTTGCATATTAACCGGTACCATCTCGTGGGTAGAATTCTGGTAAGATTTTACGATTCATGAAGAGATTAAGGATATCCCAAGAAGAGAGAGAGGATTAAAGTGAAAGTGCATACGCAAGGGGGGCAAAATACCCAATACGATCGCATCATGAATTGCAATCCAGTCTTTTCATCTCTCTCCACGAAAGAAGAGATTTGTGTGTGTACAAAGCCAGAGATTTTGGACGAGTTTGTAGGTATTTCAATAATCTGGCCGTACCAAATAGGAGGAATTTTGAAATGAAAAAATAAGCGGAAAAGATCAAGCTGAATAAAAGCCGTGTAAAAAACGAAGGTGAAGAAGTGGCGTTATACAGTAAAATTCATACAGGAAAATGGCGTCATGTAAAAATTATTTGATTAGTGACCTTTGACCTCGTTAGCACGGTTATGCGGCTAGTCGGAGTTCAAAAACCTTGTTTTTGTGGGAAAATTTTCTTTAAAATGAGACCTCATATGAAAATTAAGGTCCAACTTGGCCTTTGACCTCACGCCAGGCCAAGGTCACCTTGACCAAGGGAGCCCATTCTTGAGCACGACAGAGGGTCAAAAATTAAAAGCAAAAAGGCGAAAACGAAGTTTGAATGGGTTGAGTCGTTTTGAAGATATCCTGCCCATAAACGGACGGACGGACAGAAGAAACGATAACATAAAGAAGCTAACGCCACGTAATAAGTAAACATATTATTATTAAAGTGCAGGAGGGCAATATGTACGTACGTATTAGAAGATTTCTGGAAGAAAATAAATAAAAGTGTGTGTAGCTGATTGGGTAATGTTTTTGGTGCATCGTTTGCACTTTCTTGGGGTGAAAGTGGTTGTAGAAAAAGGGAAAGGTTATTCGTTCCTAACTTCCGGATGATTTGTTTTTCTATGTGTGGTTCGGTTTTCGGACTTGATTTGAAATTAATCATGACCTAAACACTTCTTCCGGAGCTTCTTTCATTCAAGGTACATGATGTAAGGATAAGCTTGGTATTTCAAAAAAGAGACTGGCGGAGATTTAGGGACAGTGTTTCGCGTGCGAGTAGCAACGTGCAAGAAATGCCGGAGAGAAGGTGGTTTCTTGCAGCGTAAAATTTTGACCTGCAAGAAATTCAAGGTGTTTAAGAAACTATGTACGCCCCACCGCGATACTTGATGCGGTGCGTGGCTAGATGACGCATATTTCTCATAGTTTCTTGCGGTTCTTGCTTTCCAGTGCAGGAAAAGTGGCAAACCCGCAAGAAACGAGACACTGGTGAAAGTAACGATTTCAAGTAGTGGGACGAAGGTGGTTTTTTTGCAGCTAGTTTGACCTGCAAGAAATGCTAGCCGCAAGAAATTACGCCCTACCATTATACTTCATACGGCGCGTGGCTTAATTGATGGCGCAGATTTCTTGTACGTTCTCCCAGTTTCTTGCATTTCTTCTTTTCCAGTGCAATAAATGTGGCAATGACCTGAAACCCTGTTTAGAGACAAGGACGCATTGTGGAGTAGTAAATAGGCGAGAAAGTTGGCTGTGTGTGTAATTTTTGGTGTTTTAAGAAGGAATGGAATGGGGTGGGTGGATGGGTGGCTTAATATCTGTTGGTTAAGCGCATCCATTGTAATAAAGGTGGCCGTGGTGGGTGAAAGTCAGGAAAAGGCAATCGTTCCCATCTGCTGTAAACATTCATTTTGATTTATTAGCGAATAAAGCCGCTTCCATTTTCAATATTGAGAGAAGATTCCGCCTTCCAATGGTCTACCTAATGTGCCTTCGGATTTTCATGCTGTGAGTGAAAGTGACGGGGAAAAGTCAATTTCTGTTAAATTTCGGAAAATGCACAAATTACTTGTTTACACAAAGTGTTTTTTGTTTTATAAAAACTGCATTTTCACATTTATTTTAATCTCGAGTGAATAAAATTTGATTTTAATTGTGTATATAAAAGCGTATTTAGTTTGGCAGCTGCTAAAATATTTTGTTAAGATGGGAAACAAATAAAATTAAGGTTGGGATGTACCTTAGTTAAATATTCAAATTACTAACGCGAAGGTTTTTGATTTTCTTAGATAAAAACTGCATTTTGCTTTCATTTATTTTAATCTCGACAATTAAAATTCGATTTTAATTGTATAAAAGCGTAATTGGCACTGATAAAATATTTTTTTTAACGGGAAATAAATAAAATTAAGCTTTCTTCACTCATTTTTTAGATTTGTACATTAATTTATGAATTCAAAGCGTATGTTGAGGTTTGATCTTTAAAAAATATATGTACAAGTTTATGTGTTAAAATATGTAAGCTCTTAAAAACATGAAATGATTGAAATAATAAATTAAATTAGGTAACTTGAATTGCTTTAAAAATGTATGTCTTAAAATAAACTCGTAAAATGTTGGGAACAATAAAATAAATAAAATTGACTTGACTTTGCTGAGCTGGTTTTACAAATAATGGCAAAAATAATGGCACAACGTCACTAAATATTCGAGTAGAAATCACTTGGAATTCTGCAGGATTGAACCAAAGCTCGATGCGAATTTCATTCTTCGCACTTTTTTTTGCATAATCCGGCACAAAATTTCTATCAATTTAATTCTATAGAACGCGCAGTATGTGCATAATTTTCTTCATAGTTTTCAGCACAAATAAAGTTTTTCGGGGGAAAATGGGGCTAAATTTCGGCCGGAAATTTTTGCTCGGGAACTTTGATCAGAAATTAGTTCACAAGAGGAGAATGTTGTGGTCTCTGTACAGTTTTCGTTTCGCTTTGATGGGGACTTTTCCCATGAGGTCGTGCGGCATTGGGAGGCCGGGTTGAAGGCCGGCACTCTGCTGGTAAAATACTTCGGATCCGACGCACTGATACCCGTACACGACGTGGTCATCCCCCCTAAAAACCAAGATAAAATCTCGTTGCACACAGGTTGACAACTCAGTTAGTTAACAATTAGACAACACAACATAAATTAAAAGAAATTAACGTAAGACTCAATGACTCATGGACAAAATTACCACATTTTAATTCATTTCTGTCCTCTGGAAATGTATTGTAAAATTCTGGACGACAAATTTGTAGAGCCCGTTTTTTTAAATACACACTCCAGATTTTGACACTTTTTGGCAGAGGATATCACGAGTTTAGGAAACTTTCAGGAAAATTGGGACGCATCGAAACTGGGTGAAAAAACTTACTTCCATTCCATTAATCTGATGGAAAATTTGTCGTCCAGAATTTTAAAATAAATTCCCAGAGGCGAGAAAAATGATTTAAAATGTTCTGATTTTATGCATTTCTATAATTTCCAAGTTTTCTGAAGGTTTCTTAAACTTGAAATCTCGTCCGTCAAAAAGTGTCAAAATCGGAAGTGTAAATTTCTTAAAAATTGGCAACTCCCTGTTCTACAAATTTATCGTCGAGAATTTTAAAATTAATTCCCAGAGCCGAGAAATGATTAAAAATGTGTTGATTTTGAGGATGAGTGATCGAGTCCTAGGATTTTTTTCTGGTTGTAACGTTTACCTAATGATCAATTCGTTGATGAAGGGATGGACGCGGAAGTCTTGGTGGATGTGCTGGACGGCGTCAAAGTCCATGGAGTGGTTTCGCCCCCCGTGCGCCAAGCTGTGCCAGATGGGTTCGTAGTGGAGGTAGCAGTACTGGTCGTGCTGCCCACCCATCGACATGCTCTGCTCTTCCACGCTCGACACGGCCACTTCCAGGTCCGCGATGCTGCTCGAGCCGTAATCACGCTGAAAAAATGTGTATAAAGTTGTTAATTGGTTGGCATTAAATAAAACTACAACTTTTTGAGTGGGTGGAAAACAAATTGGGGGAAAGGATAGGGCAAAGAAATTGGGGTAGCATTTTTTAGGGGAAAATGTGAGAGATAAATTTGGGGGACATTTTGTTGGAGAAATATTTGAAAGAAATAAATTTAGGACATTTATTGGGGAAAATTCAAGAGGAGAGAATTTGGGGGGTATTTTTAGGGAAAAACATTTGGGGATTATTTCTTAGGGAAAAACAAGAAATAAATTTGGGTGCATTTCTTAGGGACAATTCGGGACAAATTAATTTGGGGGATATTTCTTAGCAGGAAAGTTGAGAGGAAAAAAATTGAGGGACAAATTTTGAAGGACCTTCCTCAACCCGGAAACAAAAATTCTGATTGCCAAAAAATAGAAATCGCAGCCCCACTTAACCCGAAATTACTCACCAAAGTTTGAATTAATTCGCGATTGTTTAATGAACTTTTTTCCAAGAGGAGTTTGAGCCTCATGCCACCCAAGCTGTAGATGAAGAGAACAATGTCCTCGTAGATTTCGGGGTCGGTGCAGATGGACTTTTTGCTCTCGTGGGGCCCTTTGAAAGGAGCCCATGGTCGGAGTAGCTGATTTTCTGGAGAGAGGACTCTCTTATTGTTGAGTTTATTGTCACCGTTTGACCGCTGGCTGCGCCCACTTCCGCGCCCACTATCACTAACGTTCTCAGAACTGGAAAGTTTCCGGAAAGAGTTGAACAGCGTGGATTTGAAGGACGTGTCGTGATTTTCTGGATTGGCGAGAGTATTCATCCTGCAGAAAGGGAAATATTTTTGTAAAATTGGTTCTGTTTTTACTATTAAGTTTTTGGAATTTTTTGGAGGATTAATTTGATATTCTTGTATCGGTTTAGTTAGTTTTTTAAAATTCAGACATGATGAATTTGAACAACTTCAATTAATTTTTTAATTAAGTAGTTTCACGTAGGACTTGATTACACATCGCCAAAAGCAGCATATTTGTAATCATTTCTCGGTTCTGGGAATTTATTTTAAAATTCTGATAAATTAGTAGAGCAGGAATTTGTCAATTTAAAAAAAATATACACTCAAGATTTTGGCATTTTTTGAAGGAGGAGATCTCAAGTTTAAGAAGCCTTCAGAAAAATTGGAACTCGTCGAAACTGGCGTAATAAAACACTTCCATTCCATCAATGAACTTACTAACGGCAAATTAGTCATTCAGAATTTTAAAATAAATTCCCAGAGGGGAGAAATAAGTAAAAATGGGCTGATTTTGGTAAAGAATCGTCAACCTTGTCAAGAGTGGAAATAAATTGGACTAATATCAAATTTATCCCCACGTGGAAAAACTTTTGTGCATGAAACTCACAAGAATCCGGTATCCGTGATGCTAATACTTGCCGATTTTTCTCTAATATTATTCGGGGCTTCGACTTCCAGGGCGGGCGGAGTTTCTAGCACGGGGGACATCATGTCTTCAAAAGTGGACCAGCGACGCCGCGTCTTGTGGCGAGAAGAAGAGCTCGAGTTCAAATTCAGAGCGAGATCCTTGGGACGGTTTATCCCTAAAAGTGAAAATTGTTCATTTAATAAATGAAATAATTATTATCAGAGGGCGGATTTTGTTTTGAACTTTTGATTTCATGAGGGTCAATTTTGTAGGTGTGTTCCTTAACTTTTAGAGATCACAATACAGTTTCAATATTTCCTTGTATTTCTAGGTTTTCAGATATACATATAAATATTTGAAAATATTTCCACCATTATTTGAAAAATATGTAAATCTGTCACATATTTTAATTTCAAAACTATGTATATTTTGTAAATACTAATTTCAACGATACAAGACGATTCAAGGGAAAGAAAAAAATTCAAAATTCAAAGCATTATATTCAGAAATCTAAATTTTACGAAAGTTTCTTATCGTAAATATTTTCGCGTTTTTTCCTACATATTAAATACACGCGATTTTTCGTAAATACGTACCCGCCCTGTGATTATTAGGACGATTTTATAATTTAAATATACCTGATGATTTGACTGAATTCTTCGTGGTGGTCGAGTCCAAACTTAAGCTTGGCTTATTTTTAGTGCTCGTCGGTGGTTCATTTTCTTTCTCTAATTTCATTTTGTTATCAGTAATGACGCTGTGTTTGTTCTTTTGGGGTTCAGGTGTTTTTGGTTTAGAGGTGAAATTAGGTACGAGTTCCTTGAGCGTCCCTTCCTCATCTTCGGTTAAGGATCGGTCCGGGTTTGGATAGGCGAAAGCTTCGAGATAAAATTTAGAAATATTCTTCCCATCGCATCTCAAATACGGGAAGACTGGGTCGGTCAGACTGGTACAGCGTGTCTTGAGGTCGGGTTTGGTATCCTCTTCAGTCTGAATTTAAGAAAATTATAAATTTACATATGGTTTACGAAATTGCTAATTAACGTATAATCAGCACATGTTTAGTCATTTCCCCTCTGGAAACTTATTTAAAATTCTGGACGACAAATTTGTAATCATTAAGTTGATTAATCGAATAGCGGCGAGTTTTTTTAAAGCAAGTTTCGACAAGTTCCAATCTTTCTGAAAGCTTCTTCAACTTTATAAGAAACTCCCTGCTCTTGGTCCAGAATTTTAAAATAAATTCCCAGAGCGGGGAAGTGATTAAAAATTTGCTGATTTTGACGATGTCCTTCGTTAAGTAATAACCAAGGCGGTGAACAATTATTGTAGTTATGGAGAGAGGTATACTATACTTCTCTCCATAACTACAATAATTGTTCACCGCCTTGGTAATAACGGAATTTTACTTGATGGTGAACCGCAAGATTTTCCAAGCTGTGAAATAGTCTTGGTGGGAGGAAGGAGTTTTCGGTTTTGGTGGACGCGGATCGTGGTGCTGCTGCTGGGGACGAAGCAGATTTTAAATTTTGTGCTTTGGTCGAAGCGATGGGAACTTTCTGCTCTATTTTTTTGTTTTGAGAGGCAATTAGCATAACTAGATTTTGGCTAGTGGACGGTTCTTCCTCACTGATGGCGTGGATTTTGTTCCGGGGACGAGAATCCTGAGAAATTATGGAGTGTTATTTTCAATTAAAGTATAAAAATTATGAATTGTGAACCTTTCCATTTTGACCATTGGACACGAGTCTGGATGGATATTGGTAGGACGAGGAGTGGTTGCGGATCTCCTCTAAATCACTTCGGGTCACGTACACTTTTAAAAGTTGGACTCCGGGGGGTGGACTAAAACTGGTTCGGGCTGTGTCGGCAGGCTGAAAAGTATATTTCAAAATGAGCAAGGATGACGAATGACCAAAATGCTTTGTCAGAATAAAGTATTTTTGATTTCTGTTCTTCCCAGGGTTTGCATTTCCGGGGCGTTACGCCCATAAAAAGACGAAACTCTATACGGAGAAGACAACGGAGTTATGAAAATGCATGTTTTGTGAAGAAATTAATTTTTAATCGCTATCAAAATATATTGTTTTCATGATTTTTCACGAATGAATAATGTATTTTGACATCCATAAGAAGTTAATTTCTTCACAAAACCTGCATTCTCGTAAGCTCGTTGTCTTCTCCATTTAGATTTTCGTCTTTTTGTGGGTGTAACAGCTCCGGAAATGCAAAACCTTGGGAAGAATGGAGCTCAAAATACTACATTTTGATTTGACCCAATATTTCGGTCAGCCCCGACAGCTTTACTCCTTCAACTTTAAATATACTAAATAATTAATTAATTAATTACGGGAAGCTGGTACGGCTGAATGAAGGCCAATTTCTTTGCCAAATCTTGAATCAGTTCGACCGCTATTACTCTAAATAAATAAATCAAAATGAATTAATATTTCTTGAAACAAAAGTGTTCATAAATCTGAAATTTTATAGATTATGAATGACCCAATTTCTTACTTGTTTTGAAACATGACAATTCCCCCAAGAACACCGCCTTTTAAGAGGCACGTTTGTAAAACGACGGTAGCACTGAGCGAAATGTGACTAGCACTCTGTTATCATAATTAAGGACAAATATTCAATTTGAAAATTAGTAATGGGAAAATTGTGTCATTAATTAATTTATAATGGACCTTTGGCAATGATAAGATTGGTAAAATTCCGAAAGTGAGGGCAAACAGGTCGCCGTTATGTTGCGAAATGGGGATGTAGTGGTCCATGATGGAGGTCAACTTTGCCGTCAAGAGTTTCCTATCGCCTCCCACCGCGGTCAAAATGTTGTCGATGTCCTTATGGAAAAATTTAGTGATTTGGTACAAAATATCGGCTTGTTTCTCCAAAAGCCAGTCTGGAGTTACGCTGCTGCATCCGAGCGCCTGTGGAATGTGTATCGTTATTAATTAATTAACTTGAATTGTTTGTAATTAATTGGAATTATGCAGCTCACCAAAATGTACTGTTTTCCCAACTCTTTCAAAGCAAACTTGCCATTTTCCAAGGACAGGATTTTCGGCGCAGAGAACATGTCGAGTAGAAATTGTGTGATTCCCATCAATTGTCCTGTTAAAGAGAGTAAAGTAATTAATTAAATTATTATGAGGTTTGGAAAGGGGTAAGTAAAATTATGTGTCGAAATTTTGAGTATTTTGAGCTCCGTTCTTCCCAATTTTCAGGGCTGTTACACCCACAAAAAGCGAAAATCTACGTGAAGGAGGCAACTCTCAAATGAGAATACAGATTTTACGAAGAAATTAAGTTCTTATCATTGTCAAAATACTTTACTGGTAGAAAATCGTGAAAACAATGTAATTTGACAGCGATAAGAACTTAATTTCTTCAGGAAATCTCAATTTTCGTACGACTGTTGCCTTCTCCACGTAGATTTTCTTCTTTGTGTGGGTGTGACAGCTTTAGAAATGGGAACCCTGGGAAGAACTTGGTTTGGATAACGACAAGAAAACTAATTTCCTCACCGCATATGGCGATTCTTCTATTTTCGGGAATTTCCATGGGATGAAAGTACAGGATAGCGTCGCGGGGGTCATCTTCTTCTCGGCGACAGCGTAACGTGTCGTAGATGAAGACGACTTGCAGCTCGCTAAAACAAGAAAAATGTGTAAATTAACACAAATTTGATTTAAAGTAAAGTAAAGTAAAGAAAATAATGATACTATTTGAGCTTACCCACTCATCTTGGGTAATTAATTAACCGTCAAGTTTTTCAAAATTTCGACAACGACGACTACCGAACTAACCGAACTGATCGATCCAAGAGGAGAAGATATCATAATAATGTCAGTCAATTTTATTTATTTCGTCAAAAAATAAACCTAATCCTGGACAAGGGCAGTTTAATCATTGTTTACTTTAGTATTTTTAAATCTAGTAGTAGACTTTAAACAGCTTAAAATCCTAATTAAACAACTTTGTTTACTTATTAACTTGATTAAATTTTAGCTGCTGGAAGAAAGAATGACACAAAAATGATGTGAAAAAATCCATATGACTGGAGAATATCCAAAAACTTGCTCCTCTCCAGTTTTGGATTCGTCGCTCAACTTGCCCATTTATTTGTACTCGGTGAGTCAGACATTCTGACTCAGAAATTTATGCCTTTTTTATTTTTATCAGAAAGTCTATTTTTTTAATGACTCATGAACACTTAATTATTTTTAAAAATAAGTTAACTATCATTTCTCAAATTGTAGCAGGTCAAAGATAAGTTTGGGATATTTGCATGTAAATTCTCTCAATGTTTCTGGATCCGGGGCGAACTTTTCTTTGTTCCTGGAATTAAAGGGGATATTTTTTAAAATGATTTTAGTAAGCTTGATATTGTCATATTTATGGACAAAGGAGGGTAGATATGCATTTACGAAAAAATGATGAAATATATGTATTTATTATTTAGGAAAAAGATCCAAAATGCATACATATTTGTGAATTAAAAAATCTAAGAATTAAGAAATTTCAAATTTGTACAAAAATATTCTTGAATTTAATGCTCTGAATTTTTTCACGTCTAGTTCAATTTCTTTGAGCAGAAAAATCGACTCGCGTCGGTAAAATATTTACAAAATATGTATATGTATTTTGTACAAAATCCAAAACATTCATGTAGTTTTGAAGAAAAAAATGTGTACAAAATTTACGTAGTTCTAAAATAATGGCGGAAATATTTCTAAATATTTGTAAACATTTAGAAATTTTTGCGATCTATAACATTTTCGTGACACACTAATGTACAAAGTTTTTGACCAACGGTAGTCATAAAATAAGTGAAAATAAATGCATGCATATCCGCCCTCTGCTCATGATAAGATCTCATCTCACCATAAAATGACTTCCTTCGATTTGTTTAACAAGACGAGACTTCCATGCATTTGAGACAAATCGTACATTTCGATGGCATTCTCTACCGTAAGATTTTCGACTAAATGACGTTCGCATAATTGTTTCAGGTCTGTCATGCCGTACTTTTCGGCCGCTATGAAAAGGTCTTTTGCATAAAGGGAGACGCTGGAGGGGTCGATTTCGCCCAAATAAATAAATCGGAGCAGTTCTTTGACACTGGGAAAGAGGGAAAATCATCGATTAATAGTTAGATATCATGGCACATTATAATTTAAAAAAGGTAGCATGTTTTTGGAACAGATTGAGTATTTAAATTTTGACTGCATCCACAAAAAAGTGAGGATTATGAATAATTTGAAATTTTGTTTAAGTTTGACTCCGCATTATAAAAACTTAGTTAAAAGTGTCGCTGAAAAAATTAGTCAGGTGAAGATATTATTAAGGGGTGAAAAATCCCTTTATGGAAATGTCTTGTCTGTCTGTCTGTCCGTCCGTCCGTCCGTCCGTATCCACGATAACTTTAGAACGGATTCGAATTTCGACATCCGGTTTTCGCCAACGTGTTTCTAATTTTTGGGGACGGGATGAGTTCGAAGATGGGCGTTGTAGGTCATAAGGTCACGGCGCCAGTGATGACGCCAAAGTCGAAAATTGTCGAATTTTTTGTTTCGACCGTTTTAGACGTATTTTTGGACGGGGATTTCAGAAATCGCAATCATTTCGACGTGCGATGACCGTGTGACCGTGTGGGGGGTGTCGAATGTCGAAAAATTACTATTATCATGTGGGGTGTCTATTGAAAGGTATTGTCTTGTACTTTCGAATTACGCGGGTGGGGTGTCAAAACGGGACAGAATGAGACATGGGGTAATGTGAGACATTTATAGGAAAGTGCAGAAAGACGTTGTGGGCGTGCCTCAAAGACATTTCCGTGTGTTTTCACCCCTTTGCTACATTTCGTTTGCATCGGTTTATTAAAGTTATATAATTCTTTACTTTCATTCAGGTGGAATAATTCCGTTATAGATTTTTAAGCTTGACCTCGCGACGTCATGTGCATGCAAAAATGATGGTTATTTTTAAATGAAAATTGAAAATGAAATGGCATGAATTTCACAAGTTTTGAAATAAATGCAACTTTTCATGTAAAGTTCATGTAAAGTTATTTTTTGGCACTATAATAATTTCGTTTTTAGAAAGTTAGGGAGTTACGCTTCGATGAAATTTATTATAAAAGAAAAAATGACAAGTGAAGTAGGATTTTTTTAACCGATAGTTTTGCAATGCAAAAAATAACTTTGCATGAAAAGTTGTATTTATCCCAAAACTCGTGAAATTGATGATATATTATAATTTTGCATTTAAAGACATTAAACAGAATCAGATTAAAAATCTATGACGGAGTTATCCAACGCATTGGAGAAAGTTTACTAGCATCTAATGGTATGCTAAATAATTAAGATGATGTATATGCAAATACCTCTGTGGCGTCATGTCGTCAATTTTGATGACACGTTCCTTGGCTTCTTTCATACTGCAGGAAAACATCGCGGCGAAATAGGCGCTCCGACCTGCACCAAAAATTTAACGGATTAAAGAACGCTTTAAGGAATTTTATTAAATGACAAATTGAACGCTTTAATGCATTTTTTAAAATGACAAATTTGGACGCTTTAAAGAAATATTTTTTTAATGAAAAATTGAACACTTTAAGGAATTGTTTTTTATACATGAAAAAAATGAAATTTAGACGATAACGGAAATTTTAAATCATGATTTTTGACTTGGTAATTATCTATAAACTGAACTGGAAAGGATGAGAAGGTGCGCCGGAAATGAGTCTGGTCCACATCGGATCGTTACGTCGGAACATTCCTCGGACAAAAAATACTTCTTTATGTCCACAAAACCATTGTAAGAAAAGGAAGACGCTGGAATGTCGTCGTTTACGATGAGTGCCGCTGCAAAATAGAAATTTTATATCTTATGAGGCAGATTTTGAAAGTTGATGTCAGAGTTATTATATTTTATTTTGTATGGTAGTTTATTTCTGGTTATGCAGGTTCAAAATTTCAGAAAAATCAGACTTGTTTTTAGATTTTAACCTACTGAAATTTTACTGCAAAATTTTGACTCGTCTTCTTATTTGATAACAACAGTTTACCACGAAAATTCCTCAAAATTCTCGTAGATTGAGATTTAATTTATCTGATTGTTGGAAATTTCGAATTTGCATAACAAAAAAACTAGCATGGGAAATAAAGTATCGGAACTCTGGCTTATATTTTCAAAAAATTGTTACGTTTTCGTTTGACGACATTCAAAATGAGAAAAATAATGGAAGCGTGATCCGGCCAACCGCACGTGGATTGCCAAAAAGCCGTGTCTGGAGGAATTTCCATGGGTTTGGGGGGATCGAATTTGGACATGGTGTCCTCCACGACGGTGCTCTTTTCGCCACTCGAGACGTAGGTGACGTCAATCCCACGGATTTCGATGATGTCACGAGATTCTGGAAGGTTTTCTATGAAGATGTAAACGCCCAGTTTGGGTTCGTGGTATTCACGGTAGAGACATAATTTGCTGGAAATTAGAACAAAAAAATATGAGGAGAGGGCGGTTATGAATTTAGGAAAAATCGCAGAAATAGTTTTTCAGTAATATTCACAAAAAACGCAAGTTAAAAGAAACGCTAAAACATTTGGGAAATATGTACATACGAATAAACCCATAAAATAAGAATTTTAGAAAAATTGTATTCTTAAAATAAGTCAAATGCTCTGGATTCTTTGTGGTGCAATCTATTTAATTTAGTTTCCCAGCATGGTTGAAATATTTATGAAATATAGGTATTTTTGAAAAGAATACCTAAAAAAATAGCTATTTTTTCGCTCGGCATTGCAAAATGGAAAAAATTGAACGAAGTAAATGATAATGAGGGTCATTTTAAATTTTTTGATTTTTGAGGGGCTCACAACGAATGTTTAGTGCTGGATAAGAGCCCAGTTCTGTACTGCCATGGGTACTTGAGGGCACTGAGGTGGTTGGGGAGAAGGCGTAAAATGTCATCTTTCGGTGGCACTTTGATCGACACGGAATATGAGATTTCTTCGACTTCGTGACTCTCCCAGTTCTGGTGGTGAAAGTGAATTAGTTAGGAATTGATTAAGTTAGGACTCGATGACTCATCGCAAAAATCAGCACATTCTTAATTATTTCGAGAGAGAAAATGCTACTGGAGGAATAAAATTATTTAAGAACTTGTATCATCTCTGAATGCTTAAAAATCATTAAAAAACAACTTGGGTACATTTGATTCTACTGGTACACTGGTCTTTGCATATATGATTATGACCAATCGTGAATTTGAACTTGTTATGTGAAATGGAGTTATGTAAAAAGCTCTCTTATGGTAAGTGGTAGTTATGCAATAAATTTTATGCCATAAGGGCGTTATGCAAAAGTGTTTTATGCAATTTCACATGGAACCATTTCTCGCCTCTGGGAATTTATTTTAAAATTCTGAACGACAAATCTGTATAGAGTAGGTCGTTGCCAATTTTATTAAAAAAGGTACACTTCAGACTCTGGCACTTTTTTGAAGGAGGAGATCTCGAGTTTAAGAAGCCTTTCGAAAAATTGGAAAGCATCGAACCTGGCTGAAAAGCTCACCGCTGTTTCATTTCATTAATCAACTCACTAAATATAAAATTATCGTGCAGAATTTTAAAATAAATTCCCAGAACGAAGAAATGATGTGAAATGTGGTGATTTTGATAATTTTAGCGATGAGTGATCGAGTCCAATGCTGATTATTTGGCTTACTCACCTCAATTCGCAAATTTGTAGATTCCATATTTATATTTTTTTGGGATCGTGTGCCATGCAAATTGATGGAAGAGTGGGGTATCTAAGCGTACTTACGTTATTAACCCAGGAAGAGTGGTGTATCTAAGCGTACGTTATTAACCCGAGTAATTGAATTTTCCCATAAATGGCGTTTATATTTAGCTACTTATTTTTTGAAGTTGTCCACATTACTAAATTATTCCTGGATATTTATTCAGTGATCGATCAATATTACGAGAAAACTTGGAATACACATTTTTTTTAGCAGGACAGCTGAACGGATATGCAACTGACTGATTATAACAGTTGGAGATTCAAAAGTTAAAAATAACTCAAATTCAGAGCAGCGTAGTTTTAATGATGTGATGGTTGTTGAACTTTCTGTTCAATATGCATAAAAAACAGGATTTAAGCACATGTTAGTTTAACCATGACAAATTTATTATTTTTGTCATGAAGTTTTCATTTTGTGAAACAAAAATAACAAATAACAAACAACAAATTTTACAAAAATGTAAACATTTTGATATGTAAAAATTAATACATTGCAATGTAAACTTAAGGAAAAATCAATAAATCTCCACAATGCAATGTGGAGATTTATTGATTTTTCCTTAAGTTTCATGCTTTCATGTTGCGAATCTTTACAAAAGTCGGTATAAAAAAGGTAAACATTTTGATCTGTAAAAATTGACCGATTTGATAAAAGATGGTTTTGTGGTTAAGAAGGCAACGCGTGTAGAGCCTTGAATCTTATAAATGTAGTAAATGGTCATTTACACATAAAATTTATTTTTAGTGGCGTGATTTTTATACAAATGTAACGGTCCTAGGTCAATTTACATAACGTACTTTTGCATAACGGTCATATTGCCTAATTTTTATTGCATAAAAGTCATTTTACATAATAAGCCTTATCACATAAATATGTATTGGATAATTGTTTCCAAATAAAGATTAAGATGAAATTGGACATGGGGAAACTTCCTGAAAAATAATACTTAATTCGAAATAAACAATTCTAAATCTGCAGAGAAAAGATTCTAATTTCGTAATTTCTGCAAACTTCCTTTTCAGGGTTAGGAGGTGGTGTGGTAACGCACCTTTAAAATTGTATTTCTTGCCATATAGTTAGCCGAGCACTACATTCTCAATACCGTCTGTTGCAAGTTTAGCAGTCAATGGAACCCTTCGAGTTATTTTTTACACAGAAGTACAGTAGAGTTGTACGAGGCGAGGGAGGTACACCGTATTAAAGTACCACTTCATATTAAAATTGTATCGAACCGTAAAAATTTGCAACCTATATAGTAAGACTTTAATACGGAGCTATTACTACAACGTATTACTATTCTGTAATCACTACTATTAATACCTAGGTAGCGTAGAGTCATTTTAGTGAATACCGCTTGGTAGTATTTTAATGCTGGATTTCTGAGAGCATAACCATCTCACATTGGTAAATCTATAATTATGCAATATATAATTGTGCAAAATCTGGATTTACATAATTGATAACTATGTAAAATGGCCATTATGTAAAATGGTAGTTATGCAGCAGAAATTATGTAAAGTGACCGAAGGCCAATGTAACAAATGGTTTTTGGGCTAATGTTTTGGCTAAATTTGTGTCTTTATAATTTTAAAATTTCAAAAATGAGTTCTGGATACTTGTTGAAGAATTCTTTGAAAGTGTCCAAATCCGGGGCGAATTTTTCCTTGTTCCTGTAGTAGAAAAATATACTTAGTTTTTTATAAGAAGTAAATTATGGAACAGGTATGGAAATTTTCGAAAAGTTTGGACAGATTTCAGACTCTACAACAATTAAATTATGGAAGACGTATGGAAATTTGAGAAAAATTCTAGGATTTATCCATTCTACAGAAATCTGCATGCAGAATTTCTTCGAATTTTTGTTGAGAGAAAAGTAAAATGTGGGGAATTTTTATAAATACGTGGGAATTTTTGTGGAGAGAAATTAGCACATTTAAATTGTAGTAATAGACTGTGCAGGATTTTTAGAAGAAATCCGGTAGAATTTTTGTGGAGAGAAATTAGCAAATTTAAATTTTTGTAATAAACTGTGCCGGATTTTTGGAAGCAATTCGGTAGAAATTTTGTGCTGAAAAATTTGCAAATTTTTGGCGAGTGGAGTTTGCACTCACCACATGATAAGTTCCTTTGACCGTTTGGCTAAAAGTCCTTGTTTTCCGACGCTATGGCTGAGATCAAACATTTCGATGACGTTTTCGACGGACAACTTGCTGAGGAGGTATTTTTCCGCGTAGACGCTCAAGTCCTGGATTTGGTACTTGTCGGCGAGGACGAAGAGGTCGTGCACGTGGTCGCCAATGTTCTCCACGCGGCCGAGGTAAATGAAGCGGAGGATTTCGATAAAGTGAGACTCGTCGTCTTCCAATTCGACGATGCCCTGCGCCGTTTCTCGCATCGGGTTCGAGAACATCCGGTTGAAAAAGTCACTCCGGGCTGAATGGGAAAAATAATTTAGGTTAAAAAATTATTGTGATCATTTTATAATTTTTGATTTAAATTGAATTTAGGTATTAGTCAAAATTTGTAAACTTTGTGAACAATTTTGTATTTAGTAATCGTAGAAGACAAAAGAAGTAAAGGAATATGTAAAAATCATAATTTGGCGTAAAAATGTGTCAAAATTTTTCAAATTTAAAATTTTTAACTAATATTTTAGTTGTGTAAAAAACATACTTATTTGGCATAAAAATGCCTCAAATTGAAAATATTTATATATTTGAAAAAATCGTGTTTAATAATGTAACAAAATAATTATTTGGAATAATTATTTCTTATTATCATTTTTTACGATTTTGTTTTTGAAATGAGGTATCTCTACGCCAAATAAATTATTTGGCATAGACACCTCATTTTTAAAATCCATAGATAATTTGTAAAGAAAATAATAAATTGGCGTAAAGATAGCTCAAATTTACTATTTTTTTTAAATTCATGTCTCAAAAAACCTATAGATTGATGGAGTAGATACTTTGCCTGTTTTGTCGTTTTGAGGTAAATTCAAGAGCCAAATTTAATTTCCGTGATTTTTGAAAACTTCATATCGTTAGTAGAGATAAATACCTGACAAGACGATTTTATGTCCTGGGATGAAGGTGGAGCCGATTTTGAGCTTGACATCTGAGCAGTACTCGGACATGAAAAAGGGCTCCGCGTTAAACATGCTCGTCCCCATTTTCAGGTCCGGGTTGATCATCTCGTCATCGTCAACGATGGCAGAATCTGTGCATAATGATAAAAGTTTGATGATTTTGTCATTAAATTATTTAACCAGGGTTTCGGGTGAAAGTAACAACAAACGGGGGAGAAAGTGGTTTCTTGTAGGTAAATATTTTGACCTGGGAGAAATTCAAGGCGCAATAAACCACGCCCCGACGCCATACTTCATATTCCGCGTGGCTATATATATATGGCGCATATTTCTTGCACTTTCTCCCAGTTTCTTGCACCTCACATTTCTTGCATTCCTTTCTTTTCACTGCACGAGATGTGGGAAACCCGTAAGAAACGAGGCACTGGTAAGTAACCACATGGTAGAAACAATAGGGCGCGTGCAGTTTCTTGCACCTCGCATTTCTGGCGTTTCTTCGTTTGCAGTGCAAGAAATGTGAAAAAACCGAAAAAAAATATTTGCTTACACTTGATTCCCACGACTTTCATGGTGAGCTTGACCCTTGACCCTTTCACCGGCCAGGTTTGACTGTACGACCGATAGTATTGAAACTGCTTCATTTCATCCAATCTCATTTCCGGGCTCTGTTTCTGAAAGGAAAAAAGCATTCCTTTCTTCTTCTTATCTGGTGACGAGGATGACGACGACGACGCCGGACGATTTGACAGGTTGGACGACGACCTGGACAGGGCGTGGGCGTGGGGATGATGATGGTGGTGGTGGGGGCTGTACCCCCCATTGTTGTTGTGCATGATGGAGCCATGGTTGACCCACGTGGGGGCCATGTTGTGCACTCTGACGGGGTACTGGTGATGCACGGGGGCGGCGGGGGGCTGGTAGTTCCACATGTGCACGTGGTGGTGTTGGTTATCAAGGTCGGGGTCGTCATCGGGTACGGATAAGTCTACGTCGTCGTCGTCAGCGTTGTTGTCGACAGCAGAGGCGACGAGGACGGTGGGGGTTTCGACGGTGAGACAGGAGGTGGAGGGGGACGACGGGGGACCGAATTGGGGTTCGGAGAGGGATTGGAAGATACCTTTGACCTCGGTGATTTGAACTTGTTGGTCGGATTTTTCCCCGATTTTGATAAATAGACCCATGTAGAGGTCTTGATAGTCGCGGGAGATTATCAGTTTTCTGGAAAAAGGGGGGAGGAAATTAGGGGAGAAATTATGTAATTTTTTGGGTATTTAAAAATTATTTAGGAATGATCGACTTTAAAAAATTCTTTGAATCCTTTAAAAATGTGGGAATTGCGTGAGCAAGAAATTAAAATATGGAATTTGTACACATTCAAAAATTTGTCAGGAGGAATTGTCAGTTTTCTGGAAAAATTTGGAAATTAAATGAGAATTTTGAATATGAAATTATGCGTATTTTTAACTATTGGCGAGAAGGTATCACTTTTTGTTATAAAAACTTTGGAAATCGATTAAGGAAGAGATTGGAATGTGAAATTGGTGTTATTTTAAATTAGCAATTGGAAATTTTATGTAAAAAAATTGGAAATGACGAGGGCGCGAATTAATTGAGAAGTAGAAATGGAATATTCTTACATGGCGTGTGGCATCTGTCCGAAAAGTCCGGTGGAGAAAGTGACATCATTTTTTGAAAGGATGTAGTGCGGAGGGAGCTCCAAGAGTTGGATAAGCTCTACCTTATCGGGCAGGTCCAGCTCCAGGTTGTACTCCTGCTCCACCTTCCCCTTCGAAAACTGCGCATGCAAAATGTACATATGCAAATTTCTTCAATTTAAGATTTCTGAAATTTCAAGAGCTTATCTTATCAAAAATGTGTGTGATTATTTACCTGTAAGCGGAGCGATTTTGTCTCCATGTCCATTTTTAGTAGTGAAATGCTCCCAACTTTTGAGCAGTCACTTTTATTCCGTTTATTTTATCTGCAAAACTGCGAACTATTTACGAACAGATTTTTATTTTTCGAGGAATGAAGCGACGCAAATTTTAATTTGGCATCCTTCCAAAGTTCATGGTTCATAATAATATGCGTGCCCAAACAAGTGAGTAAATGGATATGGAAAGGATCGCAATTTAAGTATCGTAACCTGCCAAGTTTTTTTTAGCGTGTGTGAGTTATTTTGCAAATTATTATGTGCAAAAAAAAGAAGAAGTTTGCGTGTGAGAGAGGGTTCAAGGTTTTATGTTTTTTTAAATCGGAGTTTAGGTTATCCAGCGTAAGAAAAAAATGAGAATAGTAAAATTTGTCGGCATGTGTTCAACGTCGATTAAAAAAAGAATGGGTTAAACAACGAGAAATTTATTTAAGCAGTGGATTCAATTGTATTAAAATTTGTATTGAAATTCGTATTGATATTTGTATTCAAATTTGTATTCAAATTTGGGTTAAACTTTGTATCAAAATTTGTATCAAAATTTGTTTCAAAATTTGTATTAAAATTCGTATCAAAATGTGTGCTAAAATTTGGGTTAAAGTTCGTTTTAAAATTTGTGTTAGAGTTAAACTTCGTTCTAAAATTTTTCTTAAAACTGTGTTGAGATTTGTATTAAAACTTTGTACTTAAATTAAAAAAAATACTTTCTATTGGTAGAAACTGTCAGATATTGAGGGAAGCATAACAAAACAACAGGTTGTTGCTTGCTATTCTGTCCGCCTTGTAATACAACGTACGGCATTAGAAGATTGTGATGTAAAAAAAGATGGTTAACTAAATAGGAAAGAAAGAAAGAAGACGAGTCAATAACCACGACGGGCTTTTCAACCCTTTCATTTGTCATTTGTATGCATGCAATGTATTTATGTAATGCACTCCTACACATGTATTTACTTGTGTAGTAAGAAGAATTCAGTTTAACGACGGGAACGGGAACTGTGGTGGTGAATATGCATGTAAAGATGGTAACAATGCAGTTTTATGCACTTTTATGCTTTTCTGCAGCTTGAAAACCTTCATATTTTTGAGATGAAATGAAATACTTTTTTGTCAAACTATTTATAATTTGTTTTAACTATTTATTACAACTTTTTACTAAATATTTTACTAGAATTGGTTTGGTCCCGTAGTTTTTACTTTGAGTATCATGATTTTTATAGTATTTGTTTTTCTACATGCATGTAATTAATTTCCTAAGATTCCATCCTGTCTATGCAAATTTCTGTGGCTATTTACTTAGGTATGTACATTAGCAATGGCAAATCTGATTTTGGAATGATATTTTAGTTTAATAAGGAATAATAAGTAATTTGGCATTTAAGTATAGCATAATTTTCTACTAGGTGATGTACTACGGCGTATGTATAAGTTAGTATACAGGTTGTGGAATTGGTCCCTTGGTTTACTACACTTGTATTTTGTTATCAATATTTTTTATGGTAATTAATACTCCAAACTTCAAATTTCTATTTTTTATGGTGTTTTATTTTAGTTGATTTGAGTGGTGGTGTTTCCATCGTGGGTAAGGAGTGAGACTAGACTTCCGCTGAGGGGGGTGGCTGGGTCGTTTTCGATCCAGGTTTGGAGCAGACTGAAATTAGTCGTTAGAATTTAGGTTGTTAAACAAGATAGATTCTTTCGTAAGTAATTTTTTAGTGTAGGTTTTTACCTCGCAATAAAATTTAGTGGCGTCCATGTCCCCGTATCCGCACCAGGCATGCATTTCCGGTTATTAGGAGTATCTGTAAAGCAAAATAGGGGCAAATATATAATCGGAATCCGAATTTCGGATATGTACATAATTACATAAAGAAATATTGCTTTTCATGCGTTTTTTGAGTCGATACTTTAAATAATTTGCCTATGCATTCTAATGTTTTTGAGGAAATAGTATTCCCAAAAATTAATCTAGTTTTGAAGAAATATTTACACATTTTGGAAATAAGAGTTGAAATATTTGCAACGTTATGTATGTCTTTACAAAAGCGTGGAGATATTGAATTTAGAATTTTTTTAGTAATCTGTATAAGAGGAGCAAATGGAAAGTTTGATTAGAAAGTGGAAATATGGGAAATATTTATCTAAATATTGGAAAAATGCTATGCAAAACATGCGTAACAAAATAGCGAACCCAATGTTATTGGAAGAATGCCGAAAATTTTAGTCCCCTCAGGAAGTCCGCTCTCCTCACTGGCTAGGCTTTTAACGAGGTGATGAACTCCGGCCTGAAATTTTGGAAATTATTCGGAGAAAATACATTTCGAGTTATTTGATGGCTACTTCATTTTAATTTATTGACCTTTGCCAGTCCGTACGCGATCATGCCGGGCGTTGGGGTGAGGGCGAGATAAGCGCCGGTCAGGACGAGGACGCCACCCTCGGCGAGATGATTCGTGGCAATGCATGCCGCCAAGAGGGACGAGTGCATGTTTTGTTTCCACATTAGGTCGACGTTTGCGAGAAAATTGGAATCCTTTACATTTCCTCCGGCCCAACCCCCCGCGACGCAAAGGATCCCGTGGAATTTTAGGGGGGCGAGTTTCTCCAATTTTTCGTTTACAAGGTGAACCTGGGATATTTTTAGGAAAAAAATGTAAAGGACTTGATATAGCCCGAGTCAGGGCAACATACATACATGTCAAACTATGTAAAAATAGAGGTCTCCCTGCGTATTCTTTCCGAGTTTTAGCAAATTGGTGTGAATTTATCGCAAATTTAATTAGGATGAAATTTGCGTAAGACAAGATCTCCCAATGGGCACGTTTGGCGTGCATCCCAAGAGGAAAAAATGGTCAGTAAATTTTGAAAAGTGGAAAAATGTAAGGTTTAAACGTTAGAAAAAATATTTTGTAAAACAACTATGTATAATTAAAATTTATCAGATATTCTCCTTCAATCCGGAAAATTTTAGAATTTTCTTAATAAGTTTAAACATTTACGTAACTTTAATAATTTCTTGTTCACCAATAAGCAAAAGTAATTTTACAATAAGTAAAAATTTAATTCATAATTAATATTAATTAACCTAACGATTTTAGGCAAATTTAATTAGTAAGAAATTTTCAGATATTTGCATCCCAAGAGGAGAAAACACGCAGTAAATTTCAATAGTGTAAAATTTAAGTATCATTTTCTCCTCTTCGGATGCAAATATCTGCGTCAAACGTATGTCCATTCGGAGACCGTGCATGCCTTGTGAAAATTTCTAATTAAATGTGCCTTAAAATTGTTACGTTAATTAATATTAATTAATTATGAATTAATGTTTTATTTATTGTATTACCTGGCGAATATCCAAAAGTTACATAAATGATGAGTTGAATTTGGTAAATTTACGACGAAAAGTCTAAAATTTCTTGCATGCAGTTCGCTAATCTGGTAAAGTGTAATTAAATATTTTCATTTTACAAAATATTTTTTCTAACTTTTAAACATTACAGTTTTCCACTTTTCAAAATTTACTGGGCGTTTTCTCCTCTTCGGATGGAAATATCTCGGAACGTGCCCATTAAGCTGCCCAGTAGGAGATCGCAAATTTCATACCAATTAAATTTGTGATCGATTCACATTAATTTTCTCAAAATCGGAGAGCACACGTTGCGAATGCTCAATTGTCACACTCAAAATAAGGTAGTAATGAATCATTACCATGCGGAATGACTATGTGTCTCTACCACGTCGGTTACGATTTGTCGTAAAAATGGTAATGATAAGTTCAGGGAAATTCAAATTCATTACCAAATATTAAGGAATTGAATACCATTATGTATTAAATTTGAATTTCCCTGAAATTATTATTACCATTTTTACGACAAATCGTAACCGACGTGGTAGAGACACATAGTCATTCCGCATGGGAATGATTCATTACTACCTTATTTTGAGTGAAGGTACCTGTTGTTCCAAAGTAGCAGATGCAACTTCCTCTAATGAAATGGGAAAGTGTGACTTTGAATTTTGTCCCCGATCGACACTGGCAACGAAGTAGCCTTCCGATTTAAAATGGTCAATTAGCGCAGAGCCCAGTGCACCACGACCCCCGATTATTAGCAATCTACGAGAATTGTCAGGATTCATTTTTTAAGGTGTGATTTTGTGGAGGAAAAATGTTTAATTTGTGATTTGACTCGACTGCTTCACTCGCAATTTATTTGGGGATAGTCCGACTGTGTAACAGATTTTATCGATCGGTCCATTTTTATATGATCAAAGCAGAAGAGATGACTCTTCTCGTAAGAGTAAAAACAATGTGAAAATGTTGCGAATGAATTATGAAATTGTGAATTTTTAATGTAATGAAAATGCATTTTAAAATAACCAACATTTTTGCATGCACAAAATTTTGTTACAATTTGATTTAAAAAAATACAAATTCACAATTTAATTCACAAAATATTTTCACATCATACAGTTAAAATGTCGAAAACTCGTGAAATTGATGCTATTTTAAAAATTGACTTTTAAAAATTTTTAAAAGGAATAAGCTCGAGATTGAAAAGTGACAACAAAAGTAAAGAATTATGTGATGAAAACTCCATTTATCGCATCTTGCCAAAATTTTTCTTTCACATTTTTAACAAAATTTTCATAAGGCGGAGTCAAAGTTAAACAAAATTTGAAATTCATGATCCTAACTTTTATCAAGCTCAAATTCTACACTCAAAATTTCCAAAATTGATGCCACTTTAAAAAATTTCCATTTAAACCTAACCAACATTTTTGCATACACAAAATTTTGTTACAATTTCATGAAAAAATACAAATTCATAGTTTAATTTACGAAATATTTTCACATCATACTCAATCTAGGGCTAAAATTTCTTTAAAAAAAACTCGCGATATTTGAGCCAATTTAAAGAATTTCGAATTTTTGTAAATGGCATGAATTTCGCGAGTTTTGGACATTTTAAGTGTAGATTTTGAGCTTGACAAAAGTAGAGTGATGATGAATTTAAAATTTTCTTTAACTTTGACTCTATTTAATAATAGATTTAAGTTATTTATCATCTATTTAACTTTGACATTATGAAAATTTTTTAAAAGTGTGGAAGAAAAAGTTTGGCGAGATGTGACAAATGAAGTTACATAATAACATAATTCTTTACTTTCGTTATAACTTTTCAATCTCGAGCTTACTTCTTTAAAAAAATTTTAAATGCAAATTTCTAAAATGGCATAAATTTCACTAGTTTTTAGATAAATGCAAATTTTCAAATAGTTTAATGTTAAGTTAATTTTTGGTGTACAAAACTATCAATTTGAGAAATTAGGGAATTAATTTTGAACTAAATTATAATAATAATAATAATAAGCATTTATTATCCTCATTTACTAATACTAGTGATTACAAAATTCAGGGTTAATAGTAAAAAACATATTATCCAATTGATTTTGCAAAACAAACTAGAACTATTTTCATGAGCTTACAATAACAAAATTATATAATTAATCTTATCTACAGTTTAATATAGCCTAATTAATTATTCAACAAGTGGGGGATTTCTAAGGTTTACAATTGTTTCTAGTTTATAACCATGAATTGTTTGAGATTTTTTATACTCCTCATTAATTTTATTGATAATTGCATTAATAGTTGAGTTTTGATACACCGAATTTTTAATATAAGGTTGAACAATAATATCCTTTTGTGACCTCAATGACCTCAAATTTTGGTTGTCAGTAAATAATGGTAGAAAATAATTGTATCTTCCAATTAATAACTTGAAACCGAATTTTTCAAGTGCAGTATTCCTCCTACTTTCCAATGATTCTATTTTATGTAATTCTAAAACTTCCTCATAATTGAACCTATCGACCCTTTTACGGTTAATAATTGACAGTGCTCTTTTTTGCACCCTTTCCAACTTATTAATTAATTTAATACTTAATCCGGGACCCCAAACTACTGAGCAATATTCGAGATTAGACCGCAAATAAACACAATAAGCTCTTACCAGCTCGTTAATACTAAAGCCTGCTGTAAAAAGTTTACGCAATTGAAATAATTTTGAGTTGGCTTTACCAACAATATTTTGAATATGGGCGTCCCATTTAAAACTACCAGTAATTGTTACTCCTAATATTTTAATTTTTTGGACAACAGGGACCATTACATTATGAATGAAAAATTTGGATTCGTATTTAATCCTGCGTCCTCCAAAGTTAACCAACAATATTTCACATTTTTGAGGATTGGGCCTAATCTTGACTTCCGTACAACTACTAGCTAAACAATCCAATGCTTCCTGCATTTTTGGGCGATTGTTAATAACTCGCTCAACTAGTACAATATCATCGACAAATCCAGCACAGCAAAAATTTGGATTGTTGATAAAAAAGGCCTGTAATTTCTGTAATACAAAATCAATCACTAAAATAAATAATAAGGCAGCTAATTTTGTGCCTGCTGCTGCTCCACAAGAGAGGAACTCCTCATCGGATAAAACCTTTCCCTTTTTTACAATCTGGGTTCTCATTCTCAAAAAAGAAACTATCCACAGAACATCAATTTCATTTACACCGAAATAATTAATTAACAGATCAACTAATATTTTATGATCGACTAAATCAAACGCTTTAAAACTATCAATACCTGCTACTATTACCGTCGTTCCTGGAATTTCAGCAGATTTTAATATAAAATGATTAATCTGCACTAAATAATGAGAAGTAGATGAATTTTTAAGACTCCCAAATTGGTTCAAATTTATCTTCCCTTCTACCTGCGTATACAAATTATCAAACATAAATGATTCAGCTAATTTAGAAAACACATCCGTCTGTGTAATTGCCCTAATGTCATTCAACAATTACATGTCACTTTCTTTAGTAAAGGAGTGACATCCTTTTTTCCAAGTTTCAGGAAATTTGAAATTTTGGAATGATTGATTTATTATGTTAGCTAATAATGGGCTAATGAAGTAATTTGCACTTTTAACTAATGCGCTGGGAATCAAATTGGGACTTTTACTCTATTTACTACTTAATTTACGAATTGCTTGACTAACTTGGAGATCAGTAACTTTGATTCGTCGTGAATCGCGGGGGAGCGGACACAATTTTATAAAATCACACCCTTCATACGTTGTACATATTTTTGAAAAGTGGGAGTTTACTAAATTGGCTAATTCTTTCTCATTACTGTTCGAAAATGTACTATTAATTGATTTAATTTTGGTAAACGCTGAAACAATTTCCAAACCACTAACTTTACGGACTAATTGGTACCAGTCGGATGAGTTCATACCAGGTACTTCCTCACTAAATTTTTGCCTAATTCTGGTTTGTGAAATTTTAATCTGATCTTTAATCTTACTTCTTATGTCTTTCAATTTACCTATACATTTTTGTTTCTTTGCCTTTCGCTGTTGTTTAAATAACTTCCTAATTCTTGATGTCATCCAAATCGGATCTACTTCACAAATAGTTTTCTCATATAGAGGTGAAACACAATCATACGTATGACTTAATAAATTATTTAGCTGCACAACTTTCTGATCTAGACTAAAGTTATTAAATTCGTTTACATCTACCTGAATATTGTCAAGTTGCGCTATAAACTGCTCAGAAATCTGATTAACACTAGGTCTACATATTATTGTTTTACGAGGTTTCCCACACTCAAAACATGATAGCGGACTCAAAGATAAGCATCCATGAACCCGATTTTTTAAAGTTGATTTGACTGGCGGAAGCAGTTCAGGCTCCTCATAAAATAAGTTTAAGTCTGTAAGAATAAGATCCAAATTAGAACTAGTTGATTTAGTTGAGTTAAAAAATGTTGGAAATGAAACAATTTGCTTTAACTTAGACGATTTAACAAATAACTTGTAATCCCACTTATTGAAATCACCTAAAATTAATATACCCGGACTTTTATATTTACCTCTTAATTTCGTAACCAATTCAATCAAATAATTATCCAATTCTCTGCTTAAAGTATTCACAAATTGAGGAGGTAAGTATATAGCTACCACAATAATACAACTTAATGAATAGGGTAGAAATTGGGGTTTTAGCAAAATAACTAACGATTCAATTTTTGAATCAACTTTCAGATTAATATTACAAATTTTTGCCGAGATTGTTTTCCTAACAAAAATGGCTAGCCCGCCACCCTTTTTTATCGATTTCTTATTTCTTTCTTATTTATTTCCTACATAATTTCTATTTTTTGAAAACGTTTCAAAACCATGAAGATAACTAACATGATCATTTTTCCACCAAGTCTCCACAAATACACAAAGAAGTTGGATTAGTATAGAATACTCTAGGAACACATATTGGTAATTTTGATAACTTACTACTACAGTCTATCTTGGCCAGATTTAATAGATTTGCGCCAATGTGTTTTGACTCGACAATTTTATTTCCCGACGTTAGTGACGTTGTCGTGCTTTCCTTTCCAAACATTTGCCCCTTTTCTTGTGGTTCTTCTGTCGTCTTTTCCATTCATCCCCTGGTGCTCGCCCCCTCTTGACAATCTTGAAGGTATAATTGGGATATTGGTATAAGTTTTGGTATAAGTTTTGAAGAAGTTGAAAATCAGCCAGGTCTTAAGATAAGGTTGATGAAATTTTAATTCCATGATGACGACTCTGTTTCAATAAATTAATTTTTTCTGCAGTTTTTTCATTTAAATATAGGATTTCCAGATGTGTAGAATGATAAGTCATGCCAAGAAACGTGATTTGCCCGCAAGGGGTAGCTTGCGAACAAGACTACCCCTGATTTTGATGAAAAACGAAACTTTCCAAGTCCATTGTCCACGTTGAAATTAAAAGTCGCCACACCGTTGTCAATTGTGATAAATATGGGATGAAATTTATATCAGATACTAGAGTAAACCTTAGTGTACTAAATTGATATTTTTGTTGAGGAAATTGATTACGAAAAAAATCCCAAATGAATGAGCTATCAAATTTGTTCAGTATGATGGTTTTGATTTTATAATAGGAAACATTAATTAGTTAATATTAAAACTTTTAAGATAAATGGAACTTTTGATATTTAAGTGTAAAATTAATTTTGTTGTTACAAAATCGGTTTGAAAAAATATAGGGAGTTTATTTTTAGGAAATTTATTGTGAAAAGCGGCAAATGAGCTATCAAATTTTTTGCAGTACGATAGTTTCGGTTTTTAAATGTAAACCTAATTTTTGGTAATACAGAATCGTTCTAAAAAAATATGGAATTTATTTTTGAGGAAATTTATTGTGAAAAAGTGGCAAATTAAGTAACAATTTTTAAAAAATATGATAGTTTTATAGCACCAAACAGTAATTAACATACGAATTTTTTGCAAAAATATAATTTTTGGTACGACAAAACTACCATTTTTGAATTTTGATTATTTTATAGATAAAAATGAGATTTTTATTAATTGAGATTTTGTTTGTCCACTGCGTAACAATTAATATGAAAGGTACGATAAGGTACATATTTATGTGTGCATGTCGCATGTATTGTCAAAATTGTCATGTTACACCAAGTCTATTATATTCTACTACTACTTATTTACATATTTTTAGTATGTAAATTGATATCGTGACGAAATAGTAATAAGAAATGAAACGAATGTTTAGAAATCCGTTGTGTCCGTGGAGTTGGGGAAGGGTTGGCAGGGGTGTGTGGGAACTGGCAGGGGTCCGGAGTACTTGACGTTGAAAATGTCCTCCACCGCCAGTCTGTACGCGTTCGTGGTGGCCGCCTTCTTCTTGTTCCCTACGGTTTAAAAGATATTTATGTATTTAAGGAGGATTCGATAAGTGATTATCGAAGATTGCAGATTGTCAAAATCTGCACGTTTTTAATGATTTATCTCCGCTGACAAATTTGTAGAGGAGGGAGTTCCCAATTGTTTAAAAATATATGCACACTCCAGATTTTGACACTTTTTGAAGAGGAAATCTCAAGTTTTTAAGAAGCCTTAAGAAAAATTGGAAAATCTGAGCCGTTCTGTTAATCAACTCACTGATGGTAAATTTGTCGTTCGGAATTTTAAAATAAATTTCCGGAGGAGTAAAATGATTTAAAATGTCCGGATTTTGACAGTTTTGGTGAGTTTTTGAGCCAGTTTTGGTGAGTCTTTGAGCCAGTTTTGGTGAGTCTTTGAGCCAGTTTTTCGACGAGTTCCAATTTTTCTGAAGGCCTTTCTTAACCTAGAGATCTCCTCCGCCAAAAAGTGTCAAAATCTGGACTGTATATATTTCTTAAAAAATTGTGAATTTTAAAATAAATTTCTAGAGGGGATAAATGATTGGAAATGTGGGGATTTTGACCATTTTGGTCATAACAGTGATCGAGTCAATTACCTTCACCAAACCATGTGAAATTGACGCTTGGGTCGGTGACGGTGACGGCCACCCGGAAGACTGGGGGGGTTGTGGGGACGCAGGGAATGCTGGCTTCCACGGGGTGCAGGCCTTCCTCCGTGAGCAGGTTGTGCGGCGGCTTGTTGATCCAGTCAGATGGGAATGGCTACAAATTAGAATGAAGAGGAGACAAAAAGTTATACTTAATTTGGGATAAATATGTAAATAATTGGTGCCAGTGGCCGCGGAAGCGTGGGGACAGACAGACAGGGGGCAATGTCCCAAAGGTTGTTCGATGTTCCCATCATCTAATAAATGTTAATGTCCCCACGGCTTCTGCAGCCACTGATTGGTGATGATTCTGATAGTTTATTGACTGACCTTGATGGTTGATGGGTGGAAAGGAGCGTGAGTCGTGGGGGGAAGAGAAGTTGTGGGCGACGTGGTGGTCGTGGGCGTCGTAGTTGTGGGGGAGGTAGTCGTGGTGGGGGAGGTGGTCGTAGTTGGAGTTGTAGTTGTCGGGGTGGTCGTAGTTGTTGGACTGGTCGTGGTAGTTGGCGTTGTAGTTGTCGGAGTGGTGGTCGTAGTTGGCGTTGTAGTTGTCGTCGGAGAGGTTGTGGTAGTTGGTGTCGTAGTTGTCGGAGTAGTTGTCGTGGTGGGGGTCGTGGTCGTAGTTGTTGGAATCGTAGTTGTTGGTGTCGGGGTAGGAATCACGGTACCTGAGAAAAAAATTAAATTTCAGGTGAAAAAAGGTTCGAAATAGGTTAAAAATTTGAAATTTTGGGAAAACTGGGTATGTGACATACTGGACGAGCTGTAGGTGACGACCACGATGATGACGGCGGTCAAGATGGCGACGGAAAAGACGACGGACGACGCCACGAAGCATTTCTGTCGCCGCGACCAACTTCTCCAATCGCTCCAACGAGAAGTTCCAGGGATTCCGAAGATCAAATCTGCAATATATTTTAGTTAGTGAGGCGTATTTATGTATGTGTAGTCTTATCAAAATAAGGTTACCGATAAGCTTTGTCGGCACGGACACCGACAAAGAAGCTTATCGGTCCGATACTGTTTTGAGAGCATGAATGAATTGCCATAAATTATGCGCATGCATGGCTATAAATTAATATTTATTTACTATTTATTTATTTACCTTCCTGCGATCCGGTTCGTTCCATTGTCGTAAAGATTGCAATTTTGTCACGCAATTGGCAATGTGACACGTACGAGTTTATTAGCTCGCGAACGACTGGAAATAAAAGAACAGCAGAACTAATAAACACGTCGGAATTAGCATACTTTTCACAAAAATAATAATAACAGTAAAATTGTATAGATTTAAATATTTAGGCCTGTCATTAATTTAATTTGATTTGTTGGGTAAATTTTACTATAATTCGCTTTATTAAAGTTTGTAAAAAGAACGAGATTTACTTTACTTTCTCACCACATATGAATATGACCTTGAATATTTACATTTTACCTTTCACAATTAATTAATTATCGGTGTTTAAATCATGCAAAACCTGAATTCTTAGAAAGATTGAAGTGTCAGCAATTAGTATAAAATTCATCCGCTTACCTTAATTAATAGAGAAACACGTAAAAATTACGGTTTAATATCAATTTTTAAACCAATTTTGCTCAATAATGTCCTCGTCCTTTCACCTTTCTTTCCAAAATGATGAGTTTATTTTTTACGGAATAACGTTTGACTTAAGAAATATTTATTCGTCTTCGTATTATAGGAGTTTGAGTCACGTTACTGTTTCTTTCTGCCTATCCTCGCCGTCTAACAAAACAAAACCAGTTCCAGTAGTGCAATCCAAAATCCAATCTATCCAATGCAGACAGGCAGGTTTAATAGAAATGCTTATTTTGTTATGCATACATACAAATACTCCCATCTCATCGTCGCAATATTTCCTAAGTGAGCTAAAGAAGAAGCCAACAAAATAAAAAGTAGTAGGAAAGGAGCAATCAAATCCTGCTCAAATAATAGGAACCTAACTAAACTTTTGTAATAGAATCCTTCGTTGGTTTGTATGTAGCATCTTTTCTACGGAATAATAGTGTGAAAACGAATTTGCAGGAAAATAATGCGAACTTTGCAATTTGATTTTCTTGAGACGAATAATTGATCCATGCCGTGGCGTCTTGTGGATATGAGTCATGCATGCATGTAATGAGAGAAGCCATAATAAGTTTGCATGTAAATGGATGCATGCTTTCATTACGTGTAAACAAATTTAGGATGGTGGTGGAAATTTATCTTTCTTTCTCATGAGGAATCATGTTACTCATTTTATTTTGTTGATAAGTAAAATGTAGACGCTAAAACCCGTGAAAAAATGATAAGCCATTAACCATTCATTTTTATTATTGTCTGGTTCTGAAGTTAAAAGAATGTCCGGATGGAATTAGTGTGATCAAATGTCATGTCATGTCACGCTGTCACGTCACTTGTATCTGAATTTTTGTGGTATAATTTCTTCGACCATAAAAATCGTCTCAGGTCGTTGAAATGTTTCCAAACCACGTGTATTTTTTAAGAATATGTAACACATTTCCGTATTTTTCAAATGACGGCAGAAATATTTATGAAAACCTAGAAATATGTGACAAAGTGTAAAAAAAATATTTTGAAATTTTTGTGATAGTTAACCAACAACGGACAAAGTTTGACGGTGGGCCGTTATCAAATGAAAAAAAGTTGACAATAAATACATTACATATCCGCCCTCTGATTATGTATCAGTTTAGTACAGTGGCCGCGGAAGGGTGGGGACAAAGGGGCAATAATGTCCCCACGGTTATTCGATGTCCGCATCATCTGCCAATGATGTATAAACCCCTCCCTCCTTACCCTATCCTTCAATAGCAATGTCCCCCAGATGTCCCCACTGGCTTCCGCGGCCATTGGTTTAGTATTATGCAACGGATCGATAAAGCAGAATAAATAAGAAGGAGGGAAGGACACGCTTGTTGTTTTAGAAAAAATTAACTTGTTTTAGTACGACTCTTACTTAATATTTACTCGATTTTGACGACTGGCTGACTCAGCAAACAAAACACGAAATTATTGAGGAAGGAAGAAGATTGATAAGAAGAATAATATTTGTATACACGGAGCAGATAAGCACCGGATCGTGCTTATCTATTCCCGCAGCCGGAACGAGTTACAAGACAAATAAATAAATGTGACAGCTTCTCACCACCCCCACACGCTTTAATTGCTTATCTACTACGCGACAATGACAATGATGATTGGGATTTGTGACATTAATTAACAACGTGGGATGATTGATTTATGGGGAAAATGTGACTAATATTCGGTTACTCACTCACCAAGTGGATGCACACTTGATTCTAAAAATATACCAATTAGTGAAATTAATTGCTCGGACAAATAATAATCTGCATATGTACGAATCGATCAAATAGTATTTTATTATGCAAAGAAAGACTCATAACAATGGAGGTGTTCCAGCGTATGCTGTCCGATTTTGGCGAATCGATGGCAAATTTAATCAGTATGCAATTTGCAGAGACACGATCTCCCAATGGGTTTTGCTTTGCAGAGATATTTGCACCCCAAGAGGAGAAAATTTCGCAAATCTTAAGTTAAACTTTCCAAGTTTACTATGAAAAATTTGCCGAAAACCGAGTAATATTTAGGTAAACTTTATTTTTTTTAAATATTTGTTTCTGATTTTGAAATGTTACACTTTGCAAATTTACGGCACGTTTTCTCCTCTTCGGATGCAAATATCTTTGCCAAACGGACCCAATGGGAGGTCGCGTCTTTCGCAAATTTCATACTGATCAAATTTGTCATCGAATTAACACTAAAAATCGGAGAGAATCCGGGGGGAGAGTTCCATTGTCCGTAGAATTGTTTGGACACACACTCAAAATAAGGTAGTAATGAATCATTACCATGCGGAATGACTATGTGCCTCTACCACGTCGGTTACGATGTGTCGTAGAAATGGTAACAATAATTTCAGGGAAATTCAAATTCATTACCAAATATTAAGGAAATGAATACCATTATGTATTAAATTTGAATTTCCCTGAACTTATTATTACCATTTCTACGACAAATCGTAACCGACGTGGTAGAGCCACATAGTCATTCCGCATGGTAATGATTCATTACTACCTTATTTTGAGTGTAAAATCGTGGAAAAGAGTGTGTGAATATTTATTTCATAAAACACTCTTTTTATCATTCAGAGTATTTTAGAATGGTGGCGAGGATGAGTTGTATTTTTTAACAAAATTAAGGTAAGGTCAAATATTGGATTAGTTTAGTCCGCATTGTGAGGAAGGGTTGGGTGGAGAATGGAAACGAGGAGTCATTCGTGACTGCGCAGTTTTTACAAAATAATTAACCTGCAAGGAGGATAAATTAGTGTAAATTGGTCAATTTGAGTTTAACCATCTCGAGGGACAATTATCCCACCTGGAACTGCACCTGGAACGGCGGGGGCTGGAACTGCACCTGGAACAGCGGGGGCTGGAACTGCGGGTGCACCAGGTACGACCGGTCTTGGGGGAACTGCAGCTCCTGGGGCGGCGGGAACTGCAGGAGCGGGCGCAGGAGCCGGCGCTGGAACTGCAGGAGCGGGCGCCGGCTTAATTTTGTTAAAAAATACAACTCATCCTCGCCACCATTCTAAAATACTCTGAATGATAAAAAGAGTGTTTTATGAAATAAATATTCACACACTCTTTTCCACGATTTTACACTCAAAATAAGGTAGTAATGAATCATTACCATGCGGAATCACTATGTGGCTCTACCACGTCGGTTAAGATTTGTCGTAGAAATGGTAATAATAAGTTCAGGGAAATTCAAATTTAATACATAATGGTATTCAATTCCTTAATATTTGGTAATGAAGTTGAATTTCCCTGAACTTATTATTACCATTTCTACAACAAATCGTAACCGACGTGGTAGAGCCACATAGTCATTCCGCATGGTAATGATTCATTACTACCTTATTTTGAGTGTGTGTGAGTACTTACGCCATGCAAAATGTGGGTATTAATAATTTGCTAAATAATAAGACATGGAGTGGACATCGTACAACTCGCTAAATATGCGAGGACAAGGATAATTAATGAGAAGCCATGCATCATTTCGTGTTTATTTATTCCTTTTTTCGCGAAATAAGTAGACGCTGTCACTTTGAATTGGTATCATTATATTTTTGCTTGTTGGTGAAACCAGTTTGGTGAAAGTTTGCAATTTCGGATTGAGTGAGTGATGGTTTTTGTGCACCATTGTTTTTGTTAGCTTTCGTAATCGTTGCACTCTGAAGGTGGGGCAAGGTCACGTGGTATTTAGTAAGAGGAAGGCGTGGAAATACGTACGATGCCCATTTCTTTCTTCTCCATAATCGAAGAAATGAGCATGGCGACGGGAAGAGAAAGTGACGCCAAGGGGTCAGTGTCGAATCCTGCCACGATTTGTGCAAGTGTTGTGGGGGGAGGAGGAGGAAATAATAAGTTTCCAGTGAAAAAACTGTACAGTTGGATGGGGGGCGGTGGGGGCAAGAGTTTGAGAAAGGGGGACGATTTATTCTGGTGTTTCCGGCATTTTCTAAGATTTGGGAAAGTTTGTGGGGTTGTGCCGTTCGATGGGATTTTCTTTATGGGCGGAGGCGTCAATGCGGTCCAGTTGAGGTGAGGAGAAGAAATGGGGGTTGGTGGGGGAATAATTTTGTAAAAATTTGATCGATTTTTTTGTAGAAATTTGGGAAAATTTTGGGAAGATATTTGGGAAGATTTTGTGGAGATGTTTGGTTAAATTTCTTGCAGATTTTTAGCCCGATTTTGTGCAGATATTTCCCATATTTTGTGCAGATATTTAGCCCGATTTTGTGGAGATATTTAGCCCGATTTTGTGCAGAAACCTGTACGTAGAGAGATTTGTGCGAAAAGTATGCGCAGAATTATCTATGTTCACGTTCTTGAGAATGAAATGCATAGAAACTTTCGGCAGGATTATGCAAAAAAATATGCAGAATTACAATGCATCGGGCTGTTGTGGATTCCTGTACAACTCGACACTACTCAGGATAAGAAAAAGCGTTTGGTACACTCAAAATAAGGTAGTAATGAATCATTACCATGCGGAATGACTATGCGGCTCTACCACGTCGGTTACGATTTGTCGCAGAAATGGCAATAATAAGTTCAGGGAAATTCAACTTCATTACCAAATATTAAGGAATTGAATACCATTATGTATTAAATTTGAATTTCCCTGAACTTATTATTACCATTTCTACGACAAATCGTAACCGACGTGGTAGAGCCACATAGTCATTCCGCATGGTAATGATTCATTACTACCTTATTTTGAGTGTAAAATCGTGGAAAAGAGTGTGTGAATATTTATTTCATAAAACACTCTTTTTATCATTCAGAGTATTTTAGAATGGTGGCGAGGATGAGTTGTATTTTTTAACAAAATTAAGGTAAGGTCAAATATTGGATTAGTTTAGTCCGCATTGTGAGGAAGGGTTGGGTGGAGAATGGAAACGAGGAGTCATTCGTGACTGCGCAGTTTTTACAAAATAATTAACCTGCAAGGAGGATAAATTAGTGTAAATTGGTCAATTTGAGTTTAACCATCTCGAGGGACAATTATCCCACCTGGAACTGCACCTGGAACGGCGGGGGCTGGAACTGCACCTGGAACAGCGGGGGCTGGAACTGCGGGTGCACCAGGTACGACCGGTCTTGGGGGAACTGCAGCTCCTGGGGCGGCGGGAACTGCAGGAGCGGGCGCAGGAGCCGGCGCTGGAACTGCAGGAGCGGGCGCAGGAGCCGGCGCTGGAACTGCTGGAGCGGGCGCAGGAGCCGGCGCTGGAACTGCTGGAGCGGGCGCAGGAGCCGGCGCTGGAACTGCTGGAGCGGGCGCAGGAGCCGGCGCTGGAACTGCTGGAGCGGGCGCAGGAGCCGGCGCTGGAACTGCTGGAGCGGGCGCAGGAGCCGGCGCTGGAATTGCTGGAGCGGGCGCTGGAACTGCTGGAGCGGGTACAGCAGGCGCTGGAACTGCGGGCGCGGGAGCTGCGGGTAATGCTGGTCTTGGAACAATTGCTGGATTGGGAGCTGGAACTGCTGGCGCAGGGGCTGGTGCAGGTGCTGGTACAGCGGGAGCTGGAACCGCAGGTGCTGGTACAGCGGGAGCTGGAACCGCAGGTGCTGGTACAGCGGGAGCTGGAACTGCGGGCGCGGGTACCGCAGGCGCCGCCGCAACCGCCGTGACTGGGCAAGTTTGGAAGAACTGTATTTTACAGAAAGATTGGGTAGGTTGGGAGCACGTGCAAGATAAGCACAAGTTCTGCACGGTAGCCGGATTTGGAATCCAGACCGTTCCCATCACACAAGGCGCAACTACAACTGCAAAATAATTTCAAAAAGTTTCCCATAGGTCAAAAATAAATTTAATAAAAAAAATCTCAGAAACTAAAAAATGCTCACTCCGAAAAATGGATCCCGTCGAAACCTGCGCCGTCCAGCTGAACACCGTTGCGAACAAGGCGACCCAAAAATGCATGATTCGAATCTTAAATTTCCGTCAAAATTTTGCTCCTTGTTCAGAAGTCATGCTGAAAAAGTGTACTACGGATAAAACCCAAATGAATCTCATCCTTTTATAAAATTGAATCAATGACGGATTAAAATTGCACCAATTTTCCGAGTAATTTGTTATTTAATCAATTCACTCGAATAATTTTTTGTCGTGTCACGGTCAATTCAAACTTTGATTGTTCCTGAATTGTCATAATTTTGATTCTGTACCAGAATTTCAGGGACAGTGGGACAATCTCTGTTGTTGGCAAACAGACCATTTAAATTTGATGACTAGTTTTTTATGTAATTTGCACAGGGCGGATATATATTACAAAAATATTTCAGAAATACTTTCTTCACTACTTCAGAAATATTTCATAAGTATTTAATGTTTACGAAAAGAACGTCAAAAAATGCATGAAATATGTACGAAAAACTAAAAAAAAACTGTAAAAATACAAATTTTGCAAAAATTTGTATCTCTTAATTTTTGAATATACTCCGAATTTTTTATAGCCGAATTTTTTTTAGCAAAAAATTGTTTCTCGTATCGTTGAAATATTTACAGAATGTATGTATTTTAAAAAATATGTAAAATATGTACGTAATTTGGAATTTTAGTGGAAATATTTATATCTGAAGAAAATTTTGGTAATCTATACAAGAGTTAAGGACAAAGTTTGATTCTCGATCGTCATCAAATGAAAAAGTCGAAAGTAAAAAAAATACATATCCGATCTCTGATAATTTGGCACGATTAATTTGCAGATGGCTGAGCCCGGGCGTGCTTTACAGTATGACGATCATGCTGCTGCTCGCGGTCAACGTGGTCATCGGGTTCCTTGGGTTGTTGCGATTTGGGGGAAAAAATGCGACGGAATGGGCCTGGTCAGCAGAATCCTTTGTATTCTATTCCATGGGATTCTTCATGTAATTATGCAAATTATATTTAACTGTACATAAAAATTTAATTTGCGAATTTTCATGGATTTTTAACTATGCTTGCTATACTTTGTACTCAAGATTTTATGCAAGTTCGAAATTTCAAAATACTTAAAATTTTGATGTAAGAGAATTTTACAGCTCACTGTAAATAAAGTTGAGTAAAATTGCAACCAAAGCAACTGTTGAGCAAAATTTACCCTGACAAAGGTAAAATTTACTCAAGGTTGAACAAAAATCTTTCAACCTTGAGTCAATTTTACCTTTGTCAGAGTGAACTTTACTCAATAGTTGCTTTGGTGGCAATTTTACTCAAAATTGAGTAAATTTTAATCAAAATTATTTAGAGTGCTCAATTTCGGGTCGCCTTTTTATTTTGGGATAACTTTGTTACTAGCATAATCAGGAAAACTCTGTGATTGATTGATTGATTGATTTATTTCAATGAGGCACCCCATTGCATGGGACTTTACACCTCAAGGATAAAAGAAAGTCATACATTATACAATTTTCATTTTGCTTGTACATACATATAAAACAATGATGATTACATCATAGAAAAACAATCTTGATATTCAAACGAGTCGAATAATTCGAATAATTCCATAACTCTTTTTGTATTCTGGACATTTAAAAAGTACTTCTTCACCTCTTTTTTGAACCTAGTTAGACTCATCTTTTCATGCTCATTTCTTAAATTTAATGGTAGATTAGACCAAGACAGTGCTGCCCTATATTTGAAGGACTTTTTGGCAATATTATTACTAATTGACATATAAGGCTTGTAGTTAGTATTATTACGAGTATTTCTACATATAACCGTATTTATTGGTACATAATTGGCAAAATATTTGGGGCAGCTCCCATTTAGCATTTTAAACATATGTTTACACAACTCAGCCTGCACGATATTTTCCGATTCTAACCATTCCAAGTCGACTGATAAGTCATCAGATATAGGGTCATACTTCCCTTTATTAAATACATATCTTGCACATTTTCTGATTACCTTATTTACACACTTTAAATTATTCTTACCAAACAGCCATACAGGGGATGCGTATAACAGACTAGAGAATACCAATGCATGTATTAATAGTACCTTGTTCTTGCGTTCCACGACATTTTTAAGGGGACTAATTGACCAAAGAGAGCTGTTACAACCCTTTATCACCTTATCACATTGATTATTGAACTTTAGATCTTCATCCAATAATACCCCCAATAATTTTGTACAAGTAACCCTTCGGATAGGTGTGTCATTAATTTTTATAACAATATCTGATACAGCAGATTTTAATTTACGGGGGGCAAATAAAATAAATTCACATTTATTTACATTCAGTTCTTGCCTGTTTGCTTCCATCCAACGCATACTCCTATCCAGATCATTATTCAGATTATTTACAACTTGTTCTATATGATCAATATCACCAGAAATTAATACACCACTGTCATCGGCAAACATAACACATAAACTGTTTTTTAAATGGTACGGCAGGTCGTTCATCATTATCAAGAACAGAATACAACTAATACATAACCCTTGAGAAAAGCCTAGATTAGTAGGACGCGTGCTAGACTTTTTAGTACAATTATTGCAGGAGATACATACGAATTGTTGCCTATTTTCTAGAAATGACCTCACAAGTTTAGAATCAACTCCATACCATTTTAGTTTGTGTAGTAGAACCTCTTTGCAGGCCTTATCGTAGGCCTTCGCAACATCCAGCGCCACCATAATACATACATGATCATTCTCCCATGCTTTGTATACAAAATCTGTGACCGCTATAGTGTGTAGATTAAATTTTTTATTGCTCTGATTTTTGGAAATTTCGAATTTGCATAACATCAAAAAATCAGATCTATTAAAAAAGTTTAATCTTCGTATAGGAATTTTATTGCAAAATTTGTATTCACCTTCTTACTTTATAACACTCTTCACCAGCGTAATCACCAAAATTCGTGTAGATTAAAATTTTAGTTAATCTGATTTTTTGAAATTTTGAATTTACTTGAACCTTCGAAACTTCCAAAATTCAGATCAATTAAAATTTTATTTCAAAATTTTGATTTGCCTTCTTACACAGCTCTTCACCAGCGTAATCACCAAAATTCTTGTAGATTAAAATCTGAATTGCTCTGATTTTTGGAAATTCCGAACTTGCCGTCTACAAAAACTCTCATGAAAAATATGTAAAATATAGAAAGTCTGAATTTTAACCATTTTTTGAGCAGCCACACGCATTTTATGACGCATGGTCGGAGTCTGATCACGATTTTTAAGAAGTGGTCCAACCTATCGTTGACCTTCACGAGGCTGGACTCCCACCTGTATCGGGACGCCAATCTGATCGCTGGGGTCATATTTACGTCTGCAATCCTGGAAAATGCCCTGCTTCAAGTCATCTTCTTTACCATTCCAATAAGTCCGGAGAGTCAAAGTGAGCAATATTTGGATAATTATATAGCAGAGGGCGGATATGTATTTACGTAAGAACTAAAATTGCTGAAATATGGAGGAGAAAACACGCACAAATTTTTATGAAATATGTACAACCAAAACTGTAAATTAAGAATTTTCACGATTTGATTTTTTTTGTAATTTAATGCTCTGGATTTTTGTGGTGGAATTTCTTTAAGCAGAAAAAATTCGTCTCACTCGTATCGCTGAAATAATTACAAAGCATATATAAATTTTGAGAAGTAGAAAAAAATGTAAAAAAAAATACTTGCATATTTTAAAAATAATTTTGGAAATATTTGTGTCTGAGAAATACCTAAAAAAAATATTTTGAGATTTTTATAATCTATAAAAATTATTATGTAGAGCACCCACAAAGTTTGAGCGTTTGTCATCATCAAATGAAAAAGTTGAAGATAAATAAATACATATCCGCCCTCTGATGATAAGCTAGCTAGCGACAAAAAAGATAAGGTTAATATTTTTGTTTTGCAGGTCACACGCCACTCCTGAAATATTATGAAAAGGCGCAAAATCACTGGTCGCATTTTATCCCGTATCACGAACTTTTTTCAATTTTGATCTTCTTCTCGAATAAGTTTGCCCTTTACGCATGGAATTTCGTCGACATTTTAATCATCTTAATGTCACGGGCGATTTATCATAAATTTAAAACGCTGAACGAGGTCGGACATCGCGTCCTTTTGGAGAAAGTTGGAGCGAGAGAAACGTCCCCAGGTGGGTGGAAGTATGATTAATGAAAAAAACTGATGAAAATTGCATGGCCATAATTCTGCACAAGAAATTCTCCAAAATTTTGCAAAATTTCTGTAAATAACCTTTTGTACGTAGTGTAAAATGTCATGGTTTTTAGTCCGAGTCAGGACTTATGTACCCGTCATGGTTGTCTGTCTATCTGTCAATCGATTACGCAGTTAAAAGTTAACAGATAGAAATTTTGGAAACGTTGAACACGCAAAATTAGGAGTTATTAAGGTGGAAGATGAGCAAAATGTGTGCAAAAATTAAAAACGTTGTTTTAGCCCGAGTCAGGACTTATGTACTCGTCATGGTTATCTGTCTGTCTGTCTATTGAATACACTCGAGTGCATTAGTAAAACTGAGCCGTTCGACTTTAAATTTTGGACACACGAAGAACCTACAAAATTAGCCAAGCAAGATGGAAGATGGGCAAAATGTGTGCAAAAATTAAAAAAAAATTGTCGTATATAACCCACTTAAATTTTAATATCAACCTGACTCGGGCAAAATAGGCCTGTAATTTAGTTTGTTTGAACAAAAAATTTTGCGGAAGTAGTTGCGGAGAAAAATGTGCTAATTTTTGTCATTTCGGTTTTAATTGAGGAGATTTTTATTTTGCAGAATCGACCCTTTGGGGCAACTTTATTGAAGAGTATCGAGTTTTGTGCGGAGTGCTGAAAATGTTTGAAGAGTTTTTATCCCCCCTCATTTTGGCGTCTTATGCAATCAATTGTTTCTACATTTGCCTCCAGGTTGGTCTTGTTACACAGTGCATTAAGGGTATTCACGACGAGTTCGCATCATGTGCAATGTTAGCGAAAAAAGTTGACAAGTTTGTAAAAATTTTGATTTGGAATTTCACTCGCAAACTTGCCCATTGGCAATTATTTCGCCCAAAATTATGATGCGGTTCGAACATGCTAATTCGTTAATGAATACGTTTCACATTCGTGAACTATGAGTGACTTAAGGTTCGAAAAAATTTTGGCGTGAAATTTCATTTGCAAACTTTAAGGCAAGTATTATAATTTGCAATTTTTCAAAATTATGATGCGATCGTTATGATGCCAATTCGTTAATGAATACCCCTGAAGTTCGAATTGCAACGCAATTTCATTTTCGAATTTGTTCATCTTCAAGGCCGGTATTTAGTTTCCAATTAATTTTCAAAATTTTGATATGATGCGAACTCGTGATGAATGCCCCTATTATTTTGCAATTGATTTTGTAAATTGCTTTTCTTTAGCTGCATTTGGGGATGACGGCGAGTGACGGGAATAACTCTACGGAGCAGAAGGTGTACGCCATGTGGTCCTTTATCCACCTCATCGTACGCATGTTTATGGTTTCCTTTAACGCTGCGAAAATCAGCGATCATGCGAGGAACACGTTAGAAATTTTGTACTCTTGTCCAGACCAGTGTGAGACGAAGGATGTAAGATATCTTTAAATGGAACACTCAAAATAAGGTAGTAATGAATCATTACCATGCGGAATGACTATGTGGCTCTACCACGTCGGTTACGATTTGTCGTAGAAATGGTAATAATAAGTTCAGGGAAATTCAAATTTAATACATAATGGTATTCACTTCCTTAATATTTGGTAATGAATTTGAATTTCCCTGAACTTATTGTTACCATTTCTACGACAAATCGTAACCAACGTGGTAGAGCCACATAGTCATTCCGCATGGTAATGATTCATTACTACCTTATTTTGAGTGAATTTATGAATTAAAAAAATGATTAGGTTAATGTACTGATAATTGTTCATCAAAATCGGCACATTTTCAATCATTTCCGGGGCTTTGGGAATTTAATTTAAAATTCTATAAAAGACAAATTTATAGTCATTAAGTTGGTTACGCGAAAAACGCGAAAAGCGAGCTGGAGTACTGTATAGTTTTTTTTAATTGGTACAAATTTGTCGTCCAGAATTTTAAAATAAATTCCCAGAAGGGAGAAAGTATTTGTGAGAAAGTATTAATGATTTCTTCGTTCTGGGAATTTATTTTAAAATTCTGGACGACAAATTTATAGTCAGTGAGGGATGATTAATGAAATTAAATAGCAGTGATTTTTACATTGAGATTTGACGGGTTCCAATTTTTCTGAAGGATGCTTAAACTTTTGAGATCTCCTCTTTCATAAAGTGGCAAAAACTTGGAGTGAATAATTTTAAAAAAATTGGCAACTACCTGCTCAACAAATTTGTCGGCCAGAATTTTAAAATAAATTCCCAGAGAAATGATCAAAAATGTGTCGATTTTGGTAATGAGTCATCATTAAATTCAGATTGAGAAGGCACGTTGGAAGATTTCGACGTCTCGGACGGGATTGACGGGGTTGGGCTGCTTCATAATTACGAGGCCTTTCATCCTTAAAGTGGTCAGCGTGATTTTTACGATTGAAATCGTGCTCTTGCAAGCACCCGGACCTGGATATTGCTCCAACGACGCCAACAGCTCTAGTAGAACTTGATAAGATTGCAACTGTGTAACATCGCCATTACAATAAATAACTCTTTTCTTTATATGACATATGACGACGTACAAGATTAATAAATCTCATATTGGTTAATTTTATTGGGATTTTGTTGGTAATAATTTTTTCTGGGATTTTGAAGATTGAGGCGTTGTTTAAAAAATTCGGAAAAAGTAACCGTTATTTAAGTAAGTTATATAAGTATACGTTATATACGTTATATAAGTATACGTTTATTTCGTTAGAACTTACATATATGTTAATTCAACCCTAAATTCCATAATTCGATCGTGGAAAAACTATTGTAATAGCGTAAACGCAATTTTGAAATAGTCAACAAATCGCAAGGGTCAGAAATCAAGAAAGCGGTCAAATTTTGCACAAATGACATCCTCTTTTTTAGTGAACCTGGCGTAAATTTTACTCATTTCGATTTAGAGCATGTATTAATGCGACATTTGGAATTGATACATAATTTTAAAGTATATCAGGTTGATTTAGAGAGAATTTCCGTCAATGTCAAAAAGTAATTTGGAGGAAAAAAACCTTGCTTAATACCATTTCTGCATAACATGAGTGTTATTTGCTGAGGTTAATTAATAAATAAACCTTCGCAAACGAACATGTCGAAAATAACTCGATTTCTGAAATTTCTACCCCAAACTACGTCGAAATGGCCACACCATAAATATCGGTATTCTCAACGTTTGAACTCGTCAAGGGTTCGCTGGAGATACAAAATATTAGAGTTAATTTTGTGATAAAATGACACCCCATATGAAAATTTTCATGCATTTTCCATGTATTACTTAATATGTAATGTGTATTCGTACAGAATGCGAAATGAGTCTTTACTATACGTAGTATGAAAATTGTCCTTGCATACATAAATATATGTCGATTTGATTCTGATAAATAGTTTTGACAAGATCATTTTTTAACTTCACAAACAAAATGTATACATTGATAGATTTTATTTATTTGTTTCAATTGAAAATAATTAAGTAAAATCATTCTTTCTCCCTGCATAAAATTTTCTCAAGGCTCATTTAAATTTTTTGTTCAACAGTTTTGATTGTAGACTGCTATCCCGTCGTCCCCACCTCTGCACCCTAACAAACCGCTAGATTGGCAACGGCAGTAGCCAGCAGTATCTCCACTACATCTTTTCCAGCAGCAAGACGGATATAGTTCAGGCATTCCAACGCAATCAAGTCCCACCCGAATTAAACTGGTGTCATTGCCTTCGAAGCAGTCGTAGTTTCTCTCGCACTGAAATTTTTGACTGGGTTAAAGTTATTTGGTCATTGAATAAAATTATTGATTACATTATTGATTGACCGAATGGCACGCCCTTAATATGTTTCATAAAAACGTGCTACTGTCTACCAATCACTACATGATTTTGATGCAATACAGTGAAAACAACATAAAAGCTAAACTTCGTTTCTTCAAACCATATGAAGTCTGTGATTATTGTTGCTGTTTTATTTTTGGCTGCACACATGAAATAGTTGCCAAGGACGCTTGTTTTATCAATTTAATAACAAACCTCTCGATTAAGGGTCAGATCAAAGCATTCTTGGCAACAAAAAAAGACATAAAATTCCAATTCAATTTCTGCATAAAATTTCACACTACGGGGCGCCTTAACCTGTACTAATGGAACACTTTTTTTAATTTCTATAAATTTTATTAGACAAATGGTGACTGTAGGCATTACGAGTAACAAATGACTTTTTGAAATTATGGTACGTTCATTAGTCAAGAAAATGTCAATTATTTGCAGTAAATTCTATTTTTCAGTCTAAAAATTCATGTGCACAAAAACGATGCATATCTTTACCATTCCAGTGATTACTCGTGATAGCCATAACCCTCGAGTACCAAACAAACTTAATAAATAGCAAAAATTGATCATATCTTGGGCGCATTGAGCAGCCCCAACTGACCAAACCACTTGGTTGTTATCTAGGTAAAATACTTCGAAAATTCGATGGTCTCATGTTAAAGTTGGTCAAAAATCTTCCTTGGTTACTGTCACCCCCTAAAGCCCAAATCCGGGTCAATGGCCACATCTCATCCAGAAGGATGTTAATCAATCGGCCTTGATCACACGATCATTTTGGTATATTATAGAATTTTGTGAGACAAGAATTGGCTGCGAAATTCCTAAAAAACGGATATTTTGGAGATATTTCATTAAATAAAGTAATTTTATAGACCAACATTAATCTCAAATTAATGTGTTGCTATCCAAAACTCATACTTAATTTGTTTTTTGCAAATAATTGGTTTGATCCGACCCTTAAGGCTGAAAAACATGCCTTGGAGTGTACTCTGCTATCGTGCATAATATAGACCCACGGGTCAACCACTTAACCGAGTTCGCCCACCTTCGAACTCGTTTCCTAATTTTGTTCAATATGCATATGATAAAAATTTCACGTCGATCGGTTCAGCCTTTTTTGCTCTATCGTGCCGGATAGACGGACAGACGGACATGACAATTATATAAGCCCTGGTTCGGGCTAAAAAGCAGTAACAAAACTAGATCAAATGTAATTTTTCATATTTTACGGGATAATCCTTAGGACAATGGCATTCGCCAGAAGTGGAATTGCAGATTGGCTTGGTAAGTTCTAAACCACAGCGAAGAGGTACTGGTCCAAGCGGTCCAACTAACTGAGGACACGAAAAATATGGGTTATTTTACAAGCTTTTTAATATAACTTACAAAAATATACCTTATGGACTTACGGTATCGACTATTATCGAAAGATCCAATCCATGGCAGTAAAGATGGGGACCACTCCAGTAAACTGCGCCAAAAGTGAACAAGAGATGGAACCAACGCCTATGTAAATATTTTTAACAAAGGAGTTTATTGGATTCATTAACTTCGGAAAATTAGGTGCTGATAAGGTGTGTACTGATAAAGCTTTAAACTAATTTGCAAATAAATGTAAATATTAAATAAGGTAGCCGATGAGGTGAGATAATGTGAGGTACACGACGTCTCACTTTGTGATTATCGCTGAGTTTTACCGGATTAATTTTAAAGTAGTCCGGTCATAAATGTTCATGTTCGGGAATAAGCGAACCCATATTTTTGCGTTTTCTAGAATGCACAGATGCTCTAGGATGCCCGTGACGGAATTTTTAAAAAATCAGACAAAATGTTGAGTTTTTAAAACGCTGTAATTTTGCGAATTTCAGCCCGATTTTTAAAAAATGAACACAATTTGGCTGAGAATTACTTCCCAAAAATTACATTAATTCATTTGAAGAAGAATGCATGGGGATTCTGAGGACATGGTATTTATTGTAAAATTGACATTAGCTTTCGGTATGGTTATTCTTTCATTAGTCTTTACTTTTTTCGCATATATTCATGCAAAAAATTTACTATTTTCATGCCATTTCTGAATATTTAAAAATGCCAAAATGCCAACTCTAATTCTACAAAACTAGAAAGTTTATTTACAGTATTCCCTGCCGTCTCACACATTAAGGTTTTCCGTTTCCTGAGAGCTTTGTAATTGTAAAAAAAATAAATCTTACATGATGTAATGTCGTTGGAGTAGATTTTGTAAGGAGCACAGGCAAAATTGAAATTTGCAGCTATCCGTCTAACAACTGGCTAAATTTACCCTTCGTCATGTAGCATTTATTGAGTTATCTTTCGCAAGTTGCATAACCGATCATCCGATGATGAAATGTATGTATACATAAATTTCACTGCAATATATTGCAATGAAGAGGAAGTTCTGATCTATTTACGAAGCTATTAATTTTGTCTGTCAGATACCAGAGGGATGAACCCTGACCTTGGATGGAGAAGTTTCATTAATATATCATAAAGTATTGCAGATTGTCACGCCAGTCAACGAATCTGCATGCTTTTCGCTAATTACCTGGTTATGTTAGGATGTTTGATTTAGAGGAATAAATCACAGAGTTTGATATTCAGATGGAAGACGTGAATACGAGAAAACATGGCCCAATTTGAACGAAGACATATGGATAAAATCAATAAGTCGTAAAAAATTTTCCTTGGTAGAAAATTGAGTAAAAATGACAAATTTCACAGTTTAAAATCAATAAAAATTGCTGAATGTTATTTTTGGTAATTTCCAAAAATTATAATGTTAAAAGTTAAAAATCATCCAGAAAAAGAATTCACCAGGGGGTTTGAACGCTCCTGACTTATCAAGTCTTCTTTTCGAAGTTTGGGATGGCTCAGTTTAATTCTGTCTCAATGTGCCTCAATCTATGTCTGACTTTACTCTATCCCAGGGTATGCTACCCCGGGTGTTTGGGGGTATTGGGGTATTGAGTTTTGGGGTGAGCAAATTTGACCAAACCCCACGGGTAGTCGAGGTTTCAAATTTTAAAAAAGTGCATAATATATACTAAAGCACGTTACTGACAATTTTATAAATTAATTAGAAATTAAAATTTAATTGATAAACTGTTTTGTTGGGAAACTGTTGAAAATGTAGAATGGTTTCAAAACGTAATGCATCACGTACTGATTCAGTTTGCCCCTAAAACCCCGACTACCCGAAAAACCCAGGTAAAACCCATGGGTATGGGTTTCCAGTAGTAGAACCCCGGGGTTTTCGTTACCCTGTTCTTACCTAAGCAAGGCCCTATGGCTCAGAGGTACGAGGGTAGGATTGTCACCACGCAGTCACACGTTCGATTCCTCTGGCCGGGAAGCTATTGCTAATCCTACTCGGCTCGGTGTTAGTACGGGGTAGGTGCTGTCTCGTGACAGGGTGAGCCCAGCCCATGAAATACTAATATCAAATGGAAGGGGAAACAAGGCTTTGTTTCTCCGGACGAGATTTCCTCGCCTTTTGCATGCACGCAGGTTTCGGCTGGTATGGTACTCTATGGTGTCTCACGATTGTCTCAATTTCCTCTCCCGATGCAGCAATAAATACAACACCACCACGACCAAATATACATATTAAATGTTCATTCCTTGAAATAAATCATACATATTTACAATTTTTAGTAAGAATTATTACAATTTAAATAATCTGTCATATCATAAGGTCAAATTGATGAGTCACTACTACCACGTAAACAATTATTATCATTAATATTACAACATCGTATATCAATAGTTATAAGTTGAGAATGCAAAAAAATCATAAATATTATTAGCGTACTATTTTTAAATAAGTCCTCATTAGGCATTAGTTTTAAGTTGAGATGGCGGAATTACATAGCGGACGTATGGTACTCTGACGTACTCCCCGTCATCATCAGTACAAAATAGTACGAATACAAGAGCCTTCACGTGCGGTTCGATGGGTCTCCTGGATACATTCCTTACCACCTAAGTAGATCATAAAGTTATATAATGAATATATTTTGTAATTATGGAAAAAATATGATTTAGTTTGTTAATAAATTTAACTAGTTACCTGCACCAGCGGCAACTTTAATCGCTCCTCCCTCTTTTCCTTCTGCATATAGAAAGAATATATAATGCAGACGTCATGGCTCAACACGGTGATTTTAAGGTTGTGCCGATCCTTGAAATGGTCCAAAAATTCCTTCAGGGTCATTTCTCCTTGAACTTCAAATCGATCCCATAAAGTGAATTGCGTGTCGTGATATGTGAGCTTGGGGGCGGCGACCGGCTCACTAAATCCGAAAAGTGGAATTGCCAAATTCACAAAGCCGTTCTTGTACTTTTCAATGTTGGTTTCTCCCCCGACCAGCTTGATGAGTTCCAAGCAGACGAGTCCCGACACGACAGAGGTTGTTGTGGCGATTGCAGGGATGATTTTCCCAGCAATCAGTTTCGATTTGAGACGATTAGCCAGCTCAATTGAGTAGTTGGTGGCTCTGGCGTTGGATGCAGCAACGATAAAGTCCATGTGAAGATTTGAGTCGTCATCTTTTTCAAATTCGATTGGAGTGATGTTCAGCCCCTGAAAAGGATAAACTGCATAAGTAAATAAATATGACATATATGAGAACAAATAGTAAATTATATTATGTTTCTCAAATTTTGCCTGGAAATCTACTCGGTCTTCCAAAATAGTCTTCAACTCCTCCAAACGATCCGAATCAAGAGTTCCAAACTGTGACTGGGCTTCAACTTCGGTTAAAGCGATCCGCATTCCTGTCCTTGGCTGGAATACCGGAACCTGTACAAAATAAACATACCATTTAGTAATTAAAATACTATAGAATTTCACAATTACAAATTTTTAGTTATCTTCCTCACATGAACAGCAGCAGCCATGTTGCCAACACGAGTCCTATCCCTAACTTGCGGAATTCCGTACATCTCTGCCCTCAAATTGGCCCCAGCGAAGACAAAGTCTACACATAAGTCATCTTCCGTGGTGAAAGTCATTGCCTTTGGGCATCTCTTGGGGCCTGACCAAAACGGCTGTCCCGTGCTGGTCGTTTGGTCCGGGGGAAAGTTAAATAGCAACTGTTGGATTGTGTTGTTGAACGAATCCTCCCACAACAATCTTGCCCAGGTCACGCACCCTTGGAAATCTTTCGGTCGATCATCCATCAAGCACTTTTTAACTGATTCCAATATCTCTAGTGGTTGACTACCCGGCAGCTTTAGGGTTCTCTCCAAATATCGGGGATCACTTAAAAATTGAGCCGCATTCTCCGCACTTTGTTTAAAGATTCCCTCAAACAAGTCTCGTGCCCATTGCAAAGTGTGTTCAATTGCGTTTGGAAAATTTTTCAGAGTGCAGATTGGAATACTTTTTTCGGGCGGGTCTTGGCTCGAACTGTAGCTCTCAGTCATGTTGGGATTGACGACTTGCGTATTTCCTTTAGTTCCTAACGTTCCAGATTCCAGGAGAGGTTTCCGATAGTAGACACATCTACGGTCCATGTAAATTCGAGCGTCGACATTGTCTAATGCGTTGGCCACCCCACTCAAATTTTCAAAGAAATCGTCATTGTAGGTTGCTTCCGTTTCGGGACCGACTCTGTTGACATGGTGTTCGATGGTAATTCCGGGATTGATTTCTAGCGCAGCTTGTGCAGCGCAGACTGACTTGGCCTGACCGACGTCTTTGGGGCGGAAGAGAAATTGACGATTTAGGTTGGACCGCTCAATCAAGTCCATGTCAGTCACAAAAATTTTTCCCTTGTCGCCGCCACCGAGTCCCATCATTGCAAAATTTTTTAAGAGTTCGCATCCTAATTTAAAAGCAAATAAATCATTTTTATTAATTAGAAATCAATCTATTATTCACATTAATTGAAAATCATGAATAATAATAACAATTAAAGTTTAGCTGGGGTACACGTACCAATTGCACCCGCTCCGACCACAAACCACTTCATCTCCTAAACTTTGTTGAAAATTTTTCCCAAAAACTGCAATCTGTCCATCGTACCGCGACCCGCTCCCCTGGAAATCTGTCTCGTCTAATGTACTCTTCAACGCACCGGTCTCACCATCAAACTCGAAAGGAAGGCACTCGATTGAATCAAAGAACATCCATTGGAAGAGAGGGTGAAATTTTCGGCTCACAGATTTCATGACTTCTTGAGCCACGACGCCACCCATGAGTCCATTCATAGGACAGACTTGTCCGGAGCAAATGAAGCTAAAAATCCGGGCAACTTTCACATTAAGCCTGACTTCCATCCTGTTAGCCAAGTCGGTTGCAATCTCCACAAAACTGTCAGCATCCTCAGCGTTGTATGGACGAGGTCGGCGGCTGTATTGACTGACGAATGCATCCAGGGCTTGGAAGGCAATGTTGATCGTCTCGGTGTGCTCTAGCTTGCCCCAGTCTGCAATTATGTATTCTGGAGCGGCGATGGATTCTTCCAACCGTTTGAAGGACAATTTCTTCACCGTTTTTACTTGACTGACGACGCCCCCACGAATATAGTCCGTCATTCCTACAAGTAATTGATAAATGAAATAATTAGCATTTACTTCAAAAACAATAATTATTTTTGTTTAAATTTTTAAGTAAACTTTTCTCACCTCTCGTATCAACCTTTAGTTTAAAAGTATAGGGGCCTGTCACCTCGATCTGGATGGGATCATGATCATTAAGTTCAGTCATGCCTTGAACTTCGGAAAACTTGACAAAATCTCCGTCTTCAAAAGCATCCGGGCTTCCATTTAGACACGTGACCACCCCTTGCTCTTCCTTGGTCACGCCAGCAATCAGTGTCGTCACAGGATTCTCGCCGTTGACATCAAGCACGCTGAACTCTGGGCCAAAGTCGCAAAAAATTCTTGAGAAAAGTCCTTTTGTTTCAGCCAAGATGAAAGACACCCCATTGTCGTGACACCAGTTTCCAATTTCGAGCAAGTTGGAAACTCCGCTAGTCTCGGTGACGACGACCGTGCTGTATTTTTCTTTTCCTATGAGTTCCGGAGTTAGTGGTTACTTCGAAGTGAGAACTGGTACATAAGGATTCAGTTCGCTTAAATGTTTGAGACATTGTTCTGTCCGGTTCTTCCCAATGTCGGCTTTTCTCAAATAAAACTGAGAACTTAGATCATCCCAGGTTGTAGTGGTGGCATCTTGCAAAGTAACAGACTTGACTTCAGATAGAATCACGTTTTTCGCCACTTCCACTCCCAGTCCGCCCAGTCCAGAGATTAAGTTATTTGACGCCGCCATCCGTGCCATAGCTTCTTTTCCGAGGACATAGAGTTGTCTGG